TCATTTCGCAAAAAAAAAAATGCATAACCATTCTGAAATCTGTACTGAAATTTCTTCGATTCGCCGAAATTACATTCAGCGAGCAAAGAATGTGGACTGAACAATTTGCACGAACCTCGGAGCGATAATTGGATTGAACGTTTGAAGTTCCTGTTGACGAGAAGAACAAGGAGAGCGTGCAGATCAAGAGCACTGCAGCAGCAATCGACAACTTCAAGATCATTCCTTTGAATCCTGATCCTCCGCTATGCCTCCCATGCTGCCTGTGAAAACCAGCTCTGCAAACAGAAAAACGTCGACGTTTAAAATTCGAAATCAATATCAACCTCTAATCGTTATGTAAACCGTACCTCCTCATGGTTAAGATGCAATAGCTCTGTAATTCTACGGATCCAGCGCTTCAAGTTTACGCTTCAGTGCGGCAGTAAGGATTGGAATAATGGTTGCGGTTGAGAGCAAGAAAAACGAACGCCTTGCCGGAGATGGAGGTTGCCGGTAGAGACGTGGTGGTGAACGGTGGGGGAAGAAAGAAGGTAAATCCGAATCCCCGTTAACAAGATAATTGGAGAAAATGGCTTGGACCAAGAGAACTGGGCCACGTTATGGGCTTCTAGGTGGGTTTAGAGAACGGACAATGATTAAAATAAACCGTTGCGTGAAAAGGTTTGGGCTTCAACTAACTCGTCAGGGCAAGGATTTAAGATTGAAGAGTAGAACTTTACCAACAAAGAATACCAAATCTTTATCTGCCTCTTTATATATGCCTCATTCTCTGTTTTAGTAATAAAAATATTAAATCTCGATGAGGAAAATTAATAGTTAAGAAAAATATGTTATTACTGAAAAGAGTACTGTGACACTTTTAAACTGAAAAACAGCGGGAAAAAAAAAACGTAAAAATGAGCGGGTAAAGTCAATTCATGATTAATTGTGTTAGATTAAATGTGACTAGAGAGAGAAAGAGAAAATAATTCTTAGAAAATAATAAAAGGTTAACTGATGTTTATATTTTTGGTTTGACAAAGTTATTTGTTGAGTTAGAAGAATTCATTTGAAGGGGAAAAAAAAAGTATGCTACTTTTTTAGTTTTTGTTAACTTTAACTCTTAAAACCAAGTTTAAACATCTAAAATTAGTAAGGTTTTATTTGTAAGAATGCATTTATTACATTAAATTTATAAAACGATAAACGTGTTTCTGAAAAAAAAAAAAAACTACTACTTTTGAGTGACTTAACTTTAAATGTTGAAGTTAAGATTATTTTGTATATATCTTGTTAAGTATTAAGATCCTATTTAAAGAATTGAAAGTGATTTTTTTTTCTTAAAAGTGTGTTTGATTGCATTAAAAAATATATAACAGGTTTATTAATTACATTTACTAATAAAATCAGTCAGCTTTTGCTTATTTAACCAATAGTCTTAGAGTAACGGTTAGTATTTATTTTATTTATTTACATATTTCGAACATAAGATATTACTTTCTAAATTTCCAATTTTTGTCACTTAAATAGATATTGTTTGATCAACTATCACTTAAATAAATTCTTCAACCTACTTATAATCAGATGCCATGGGGTACCAAAACAATATCGGGTGCCATAAATGGTAATAACAGCTTAAAGCAATTTCATAATATTCATGGATTTAAAAAAGAAACACAGTAACAGCCAAAATACACTGAAGTCATGACTTTAGGACAATTTCGTATAGATCTCTTATTTTGTGTTATAGTATTATTATATGGACCATTTTTAAGCGGTTGATAAAATATTATGAATTAGTATATAATTAATTTAACTTTAAAGATAAATCATTTTTCTAATTTTAAAACATTTTCAAATTTAATATAAACCAAATATCCATTTAATCTATGAGTCTAAATTTAATTTAGTAACACATATTATACAGAAAACTGCGCATACAATGAAAGAAATTAATTCATAACATAAAATAAGAAAAAAAAAAACTTTTACATCTTAAATAACGCTATTTATACCTATTTTTTTTTACTATATTTGTTTTGCAGCTCTCTTTTTTTTTTTTTCTATATTACTAATATTGTCCCGTGTCTGTTTTTCTATTCCACAGTAATACGTGTTGAAAGTTTATTATCAAAGACCTAATTGATAAATAATCTATAAATAATTAAACAGCTAATGTATATCTTGAAACATGTTTTACTCCTATTAAAAATGGCAATGGATAAAGTACTTTATGGGTACTCACAAAATTTATCTTCAATAGGTAAGTATTTATCCGCTAAATGAGTATTAATAAAAATTCATAAATTTTAACATAGATGAGTGCGGGTATAGGTACTTAAATATTCACCCCACCTCATATATGCATATATATACTCTTTATGTGAGAGAGACCTTAATCCAAAAGTCTATGATGAGAAGGAATTATAATTAATAATTAATAATTTATATATTTGACTAAATTCATTCTATAGTTATTAATAATTATGTAATCATATGAGTTATTTTACAGCTTATGAATGTGACTTATAGAGAAATATCTAACTTGTTATCTTTTATATATTTTAAATATAAAGTACAACAATTTTCATATAAAGATAAATTTTTAACAAATAAGTCTAAAACTATATTATAATTATTATTGATATTTTCAATTATCTTTATTTTAATTTTATATAATCTTATTTGAATAATTTTTCACTTACAATGGAGCAACTAAGAATTTAAGAAAACAAGAATTTAACCTACTTTTAGTTTTTAGAAATTTTTTGTAAATATTTTTGTAAAATTTTGGTCAAGATAAAGATTTTATTATTTATTTTATGTAATTTCATGTCTTATATTTTTTATTCAGTTCAAAGTTCTTTTACATACATAATTATTTTATTTTTTTGAATAGAAAAATTTTCTATTTTGAATACGTGAGTAATATTATCTTTCAATTTATAATTCTCTGTTTTTAAAATTTTTTCTATATAAAATAAAAGGTTAAAAATTTAATATAAATATTTATATTACTCAAATAAAAGAATGCATATTTAAATATATAAAAATCTATCTAATTAAATTTGTTTTATAAGATTAACATAAAAATATATTTATCAATAAAGTAAATCATAAGAATAATTTTTTTATATTTTTAATAAAAAATTTATTTACTATTTTATATCGTTTAATTAGGCTAATACAATTTAATTATTACATAGTTGTTATAAAACTTAATTCTTGTTATGGACTTGTATGTTTTATCTTCTATTAACATTGCTAGACCAAAGTAATATATAAATTTAAAAGATAAGCATTCATATGAAAAGTCTGATTTTGATAAAGAAATAAAATAATCTAACTATATATATTATTTTGACTTTACAATAAATAATTAACTAGTGTTTTTTTTTTTAGATTCTTGAGAGTGACGGTATATGATTCTTAAATTTATGAGTTGATTATTTTAACATTATATGTAAAGTTTTATTTATAGTTTTTAAATACTTTAATTTAAAAAATTAATGTATTAAGATATATTTAATAACTAATATTTAGATATTTATTTTTTTCTTTATTCAAAAAATTTATATCGAATTTCTATATTATTATATTATTTATGTAAAATTATATAAATATATTTTTTTATAAGTATTTTTTTTAAACAATTACAGGTAATAAAAGCAGGTATTAATATATAAGCATGAGTATGCAAATATCTAAAAAGTATAAATATAAAAATTAAAATTATTATTCATATAAATATAAAATTAAATACAAATATTTTTTTAAAATACAAAATACTATAGTAGGCATGCATAAGAATTTTCTCTTGTAAACTTTTTGAAAAACAAAAAAAAGAATAGCATCATAGTACGAGAATGGACAATAACTTTCCCGTGGCCCCACCGAAAGAACCTGTCCAATAATATTTACCATAATAGTGTTCCATCTCTGCAACACCCGTGGAGGTGTGACCATGGAACGTGTCGACACCCAAATGGATCTTCGTCATTTTCATGCGACACAAACGAATGGTTAACTAAGTTACAAACTGGAAGAGCCATTAGGGGTCTGAAACGTGGCCAGATAACTAGGTGTGGACCCATAAGTTAATAACCTCTATGTACAACATCTAGGGTATTGGTAATATTACCACTTATCATAAAGGAGAAAGTTGAAAACTTGACTTGACTGAAATTGACTCCATGTCTGTGAAATAATCCACAAACCCAACGTAGACTAACCGCAACCAGGCCTCAACATTTCAATGGCTATGATGATTGAAAGTGTAGCTTATGGTAAAAATTATACGTATCTGTGTCTTCTCTTCATAGGCAGTATTGTTGCTTGATGTTGCCCTCACAACTACCATATAAACTCCTCCACTTGTCCCCTCCTCAATATATACATTTAACAGATTACATGTATAATTTCTAGAAATAATATATTAACTAGTTACATTTTCACGTATTTAAGAAAACTAAAATATAATTTACTAACATGTTTTTCCTACAAAATAAGTGGACATGCATTTACAGCTTACACGATCAGCAAGCACACATTTTTTTCCTTTGTATTTAAAAAATCATATTTAGTACTTTGTAGTAAATTTTTAAATGCTCACAGTACTGCTCCCATGAACCTTTATTTTACTATGATTCCTTAACAGAATATTATGGAAAAAAAATAAGAACAATATTTATATATCTGTTTTATATAATATTACATTATATATCATACTCTTTTTTTTTTAATTATCTTTCCTTTTGTCTTTCAACGTGTCTTCTTTCTGCCTCTTACACCCCATTTTCGGAGTACATAAGAAACGTTATTCAACGGAGAAAAGGGTGGTCAACGTGAAGATAGAGGGAGCATGTGGAATATTGCAGCCACTATTATGTATGTTCCCTCTTACGCTAATACAAGTGCCTTTATTTTCATCCTTTATCTGCAGTGCATTTAATGATATAAAGAGAGAAGCGAGAGATCGTGAAGTAGCTAGGAAGCAGAGAGAGAGAGAGAGAGGAAGCATGGGAAGAGGGAGGGTGGTTCTGGAGAGAATACAGAACAAGATCAATCGCCAAGTAACTTTCTCAAAGCGAAGGAGTGGTTTGCTGAAGAAAGCTTTCGAGTTATCTGTGCTCTGCGATGCTGAAATCGCCCTCATCATCTTCTCTAGCCGTGGCAAACTTTTTCAGTATAGCAGCACTGAGTAATTTTCCATGTCACTCATCTTAATTAATATATAATCTTTGTGGGTTTAAATTAAGTTTAAAACTTCCCCCTTTTTTTATTCCTTCTTCTACTTTCATGTTTTCCAAATGCATATTGCTGTTTGGTTTTTTAGTACTATATATTATATATATAATTTCGTATCCCCAAAACCTGTGAAGGGTTAATCTGTTTCCTTATATTAAATATTAATTGGGCTACATAAATCGTAGTTAGGATTTTTCACTTCTTCATTATCTCCTTCCACTTTTTCTACCATTTAAACGAAAAGGATAATATCTTCTAACCTTAGTCTTTTTCATGCTCTCGAAAATAACATAATGCCATATTCTCTATATATTAGAGCTGAGTAATTTTTTAAAAGTAATTTGTTGAAGAATAATTGCGTTTGGTACCTCACAAACAATTCAATTTAGCTTTTTTCATTTACAAAATAGAATTTTGTAAATTTATTTGAAATATTCCTAATATAATATGTAATTCAACTAGCTACAAACATCCTTTTACATTTGAATTTATAACTCTTGCCTGGATATTTGTCATATGAATTATACATACTTGACATAAAAGAATTAATAACACAGATAGTATTTCAGATTTTCAGCTGATAAAAATACTAACCTTCAGTAGTGTTCCAATAGTAGCATATTAATTATTCACTTGTAGAAAATATCAATTTTTGATGTGGGATCCGCATCATGAAAAGAATGTGTTGGGAGAAAGGATGATTTTCCTGTTAAATTAAACTTTTACTTGTATAACTTGTAGCCACGCAGATCGGTTGTTCCTTTTTTTTTTAAAAAAGAATCTCCTTAATAAAAAATTATACATTCTTTGCTCAGATAAACTTTTTGAACATATATTTAACTCATGAATCTAATTATGGTTATTCTGCCCAATCAAATTTGTTGTTTATTAAACTACGATTACATAGCTAATTCAAATTCAATCAAGTATTTAAGTTTTTTTTCTTTCAAAAATGTTAAAGTATATAAATAACTAATACTATTAATTGAATAGCTAGTCCTTAAAACAAATTGTTTAGAAGGTGGGTCATTCTTTGTTTGAAGCAAATGTGTTTATCTTTGATACTTGTTCATTCTCATGTCAGCATTAACAGAATCATTGAGAAATATCGTCAATGCTGCTTCAACATGTCTAAGACTAGCGATATAGTTGAACTTCAATCACAGGTTTTAATTCTCTCTTTTTTACTCAATAACTATTGTCTTTCGAAAAATAGAGAGAAAAAATAAAAGAAATTAATTATGAAGCTAAGTTGCTCAAGATAACAATTGATAACAATGATGCTGCATATGCTTTCACACAAAAAGGACGGTTCTATGAATTTTCATTTTTTAAATTTCGCAAAATGCAGTGCTTATACCAAGAGCTTTTGATATTAAGAGTCAAGCATGAATCACTTGAACGGAGCCAAAGGTAAGGATTCTGATTAGCAGACACAAAAAAGAAAGTTTTTGTTGAATTAGTCCAAGCTGTAGTGGACACTAATTTATTTTGTCTCTCTCTGTGTTTGAAGAAATTTTCTAGGAGAAGAACTTGAGCCACTTAGCTTGAAAGAATTGCAGAGTTTAGAGAAACAACTGGATAAAACGATTGCACAAGCTCGAAAGCATCAAGTACTAATTGGCATTTATCTTGAATATCTTACTGAATATGTAAAACTAGCTTTAATTGAAACCAATAAAATATTCAAGTGACAAGTGCTCTGAAAAATAAATTATATATATATATATATATATATATATATATATATTTTAGATTGATAATTAAGTTTACATTTTCCTTCATTATAGTTTGGTTTAGATCTTTGAAACTAACTTTCTTCTCACTTTGATCGAAACGGCGGGTTATGAAAAGGTTGTACTCTACTTTCAACTTTTTTTTATAACTTAGTCGTACCAATATAATGTGCCTAAATCCTTAAATATGTACTATATTTCTACTTTTGTATTCAAATTATTTTGTATTTCCCATTTCTATCAAATTGCTTGCTACTAAATGCTTGCCAATTAAGAGAATTAAAGAAATTAAACTCAACTTAAATTCTTAAATTAGTGAGAGACTTTTTTTTTAATTATATATATATATATCTGGCAAGAACATATTGTATAGGTTATATATAATAGCCATTATATATCTCGCCTTTGTTTGCAGACGCAGAAGCTGATGGCACGAATTGATGAATTATGCGAAAAGGTAAGTAATTATTAAAACAAACACAATAAATGAAGGTTGTTATACCGTTGAATTTAATTTGATGCATGTGAATTCTTAATATGTGAACATTGATGATATTTGTTGTATTTCCACCGAAAATACTGTTTAAAATATGGTCAATCTATATGGTAGCTAGGGTTTGTCAAAGTTTTTCTAATTTTTTCCTTTCTTTTTTATATAAGAGAAAGAGGATAAATCTAAAATTATTATCCCTCAATTTTTTCCCGTATCTACATATGCATACTAAAAAGAGAAATGAGTGCAATTTTTTCTTTTCCTTTAATATTAATTTGGCATATATGTGACACGCATAATTGTAGTTACATAAATATTCACTAATTCTCATTATCTACATAATGGCAGGTACAAAACCTGGAGGAGGTTAACAAACATTTGGAATCCAAGGTTTTTCTTTAGATAATCAAGTTCATATAGTCGCATGCCGTAAAACTCGAATAGTTTATATGACATTTTTTTATTTGCATTTTCAAACTTTTACTTCAGGAAAGAGATAAATGCACCCAGCAGATCTGTGAAGGTTCTACTAACTCGACCCCGTTTGTGTACAACAACAATCATATTCAAGTCAATCAGTTTCAATCTGGAACAACAGGGTGTGCATTTCTTTCTTCTTTTCAACATATATGAATTATGATAGATATGGAAATTGTTAATGTATTTTTTTTATGAATCTACTTCGATTAAGTTTAAGATATGAGTAAATAGGGTGAAAGAAGAGGAGATCATAATCAAACTTACGATATAAGAAGTGTCCTATGCTAAAATGTAATTTAACTTTATTTTAACCAATGAGTGATATCTTAACAACTTACAAGCCATATCTGCATGCACATAATCATAACGACGAGTTTCATTATATGGACAATATATGAATTTTTATTAATCGCTGAAATTAAATAATTCATTTATTAAAATAGTGCGGGAGATGGAGTAGGTAAAAGTATGTGAAATTAGCTTTTATATATATATATATATATATATATATATATATATATATATATATATATATAAAGCAGTTTAAAGGACGCGTCATGAAAAATATTTTTTTATTTATAATATTTAATATTATTGATATTTAATTTTATTATAATTAATTTATAATTTTTATATAAAAATCAATATATATATATATATATATATATATATATATATATTATTTAGATACATGTTTAAACAAATTATTTATAAATAACATTTTATAATTTTAGAGTGCTTCATAATAATAAATATGTTTAGTTCATAAAAAAAAATACATACATAAAAGATTTTGCATTATTTGATTTGAGTACCTAAAGATATATATCACTTTTGAATACCTAGAATGGAAAGAATAGTAATACATCCTAACTGCATTTGATTTAAAGATAAAAATACATTTTTTTTGTTGCAGATGGTTTCGGCGTCAACAAGCTGCTGCTTCAAAAGGAAAAGCAATAGATCGACACGGGGAGTGAACAAGGCCAAAGCATCATAACAAGAACACTTGATAGTGCCTTTGAATGTTCATACACTTTATATATAGTTCTCGGTGTGAAATTTCTAGCTACTTCATTGCTCATTGATGTTATTTACAATCGAAAAGTACTATTTTGTTGGCAGGTCAATGTGGCTTCAACTGCATTGTTGCCAACCTATATAATATAATGTTTGTGGATGGTAGATACGGTAAAATCTGTTTAATTAACTCCAAAAAAATAAAATTATTTCTAACTTTTATTTTGCTCTTACAGTGGATAAAACGTAATTTTTTATAAAAACTAAAACAAGAAGTAAATTCAATATAAAAATTATATTTGGTCAAAATTTGTAAACTTAATATACTTAAATATAACATTCTAAACATATTACATAAGAATTTTCACAGTGTGTCTATTTTTATGAAAGTTAAAATTTAAAGAGGTAAAAGTAAAAAAAACAAAAGACAAAAAGAAAAGTTCAACCCATTTGAGTGACAGAAGAAACATAGGAGGCAAAAAAATACAGTGTAAAAAAAAATTTTTTTTGTAGAATTTTGTTAAATTAACTTTTAGGGTTGAGTTTAAGCATTCACAAATAAAAATTTAAAAAAAATACATAATTATTATATTAAAATTATAAAAATACAATAAATATTTTTTTCTCCTAAAATTATACTATTATTAGTTATTTATCCTACTTTTTTTATAATACAATATTAATTAAGTAAATCTGTTTTAAATCCAAATTTATGTGAAATATTACAAAATTGAATTATTATTATTATTATTATTATTATTATTATAATAGTATCTTGAATTGAACACATGAAAAAAAATGATAACCAGTTTGCGTAAAATTTGGATTAAAAAAATAAATTTTTTGAGTTGTTTCTAAAGTAAAAAATGTATAAAATAAAGAAGTAAATTTTTTTCTATTATTAATTTAAATTATATCATATTTTTAAAATCATATATTTTCACTTTATATATATATTTTTTTATAGCGGATGGATCCAACTCTCCGAACCTCGAGACAGACCATAAAAGAGTTTATGGTGAACGGTGAATAAAAAAAATTAGAAATAAAATCAATGTACAGTAAAAAACTAATAATAATAATAATATATTTTTATTATAAATTATAATATTTAATATTATTAAAATATAAAATTTTATAAATTTTAATAAATATTTATTATATATCTTTAAACATTTAATAGATAAAAAAATTTATTTAATAGACTGAAAGTCAAATCAAGCAAATCTCTTTACCAATTAAGTCAAATTTCATAATATAAAAGAGTTAAACTTATATTTAAAAATATTAATATATAATATTTTAGACAGCGGTATGTGTCAAAATTAAAAATTATATATTAAATTAGATGTTAGAATTATTTTTATAAATTAATTCATGGTAATATATTATTAATTTAATTATAAATAATAATTTTAATAATAATAAAAGGAAAACAAATAAAAATATATATAAATAAAATTTATAATTTTGAAAACTAAAATAATATACTTTAGTTTTTTTAAAAAATTAAAAATTAGTTTCGCGACGTTGAGTTCCAGATTGTGAGGCATCGTTCACAATTATACAAATCTGCATGCTTTTGTAAAGCCAACCCGTTTCAATCTTGATTGCATTTCTTTGCTTCTCTTCTCCGTGTAAACTATTAACTTGCACCAAAACACATTCTCTTCTTCCTCTTCTGCATTTGCAATACTCTGTTTCTTGTTTCCAAATTTAATCCCACACCTCGTTGCCCAGATGGCCCAGTTTACCCCCTCAGGTTTTTCGTCTTTCTTTCGACACTCGCATTCTCTCATCTTTTCTTTATCTGGGTTGTTCTTGCTAACAGTATTCATTGCATTGCCGTTCAATCGATGGGGGGTTGTTTGTTATCTTCGTTGAAACTGGGTTTTTGGGCTAAAGATTGCATCTTTGAGATATTTCTGATGTTGGGTTCCTGCTTTAATTTTATTTCCTTTACTCAATTAGATTGGAGATATTTTTGTTTTGAATGTATGTTCATCTGAACGTGTTGTTATCTTTGTTGCCAATGTAAGAAGTTAAGAGATTTCCCATTTGCACCACTCGTCTGGGGTGTGATTATTGCATGCAGAGAGATAAAATCAAGATGACGGGCCTTTATTTTAATTGATACTGTCATAGTGTGCTATACAGTGGTTGATGAGAAGATCTCATTGGTTTGGCATTTATTATTTTTCTGTCGTCTTGGATCTGTGTCTAATGGCCTATTTTTTAACACTGCATTGGGGAGCAGAAATTGGGAATCGGAAAGTACATAATTTGAATGGCTAATGCATGGCCTGGCAATGAGCCAACCTTGATTAAACTTGGTTCATGGAAGAGCTTTTTATACTCAAATGAATCATTTTTTTTACATATATTTATATTAGGTAATACCAAAAAATAAAATCAAATGCTAACATATATTAAATCAAAGTATTACTAATGCTATTCTTAAAATCTTTTCTTTATCTGGGTTGTTAGCAAATCAAGTTTAGAGCTAGCTCTCAAAGTGCCTTGGCTTGTTGCCTATTCTTTGAAGGTCATATTTGTAATTTTTTGTGTTAATTTGAATTCAAATACCTGTACTTTTATCTATATGGATTTTGGGTCTAAGGAAACAGAGTGCTCACTACAGAAGATGGAATATTAGTTTAGCCATTTAGAATGTCATGTTACTCGTGAAATGATTCCTCTATTTCTTACTACCTAGCATAAGGATGTTTTACAGTATCCCATATACAAATATACAAATACACTAATAGGCGTCATCCTATCATGAAGATGAAATTTTCATCTTTTGTAGTTTTGATCTCCTTGCTTACTTGGCTAGTGGCAGTATCTTATAATGTACAATTATTTACTTCTATGCATTGCAACTAGTGAAATTATCTGAACCCAGGGATTATGTTGGTTTCTTAGCTAATCTATTCATGCAGGTAAATCTGATCATCCCTTAAAAGAAGACTGCAAGAAAACAAGTGCACTGGTTGTTTGCTTTGGTGAGATGTTAATAGACTTCGTGCCAACAGTGGGTGGAGTGTCACTAGCTGAAGCACCTGCTTTCAAGAAAGCTCCTGGTGGTGCTCCTGCAAATGTGGCTGTTGGCATCTCTAGGCTTGGGGGTTCATCTGCTTTTATAGGAAAGGTGTATTTCTCTATCTATGTCTGTTTATCCAGATGAATATTTGTTCAAAACCTTGTATTTAAGACATTTGTCATGTGTGATGTTGTTTGAAACTGATTACATTTATTTGAATAAGACTGTTAGAATACACTACCACACCCTCCAAAAAAAGTGTGACTGTGTGAGAGAGAAAGAGATGGAGAATGCTTGCTTGATCTATTAGAATAGAAAATCATAGCTTAATTCCTTCCAATCTGTGTTTTAGGTTGGAGCAGATGAATTTGGATATATGTTGGCTGATATTTTAAAGCAGAACAAGGTTGAGACATCTGGCTTGCAGTATGACTCAAATGCAAGAACTGCATTAGCTTTTGTTACCCTAAGAGCTGATGGCGAGCGTGAGTTCTTGTTTTTCCGAAATCCTAGTGCTGATATGCTTCTTCATGAGTCAGAGCTTGATAAAAATCTCATAAAGCAGGTGTTTTGAATTTCTCTCTATATTTCTACAATGTGGACTAGAACCTTTGGTTTAAGTCCAGGTACTCATGATATTGATTGCAGGCTAAAATATTCCATTATGGTTCCATCAGCTTGATTAATGAGCCGTGCAAGTCAGCTCATCTTGCTGCCATGAGAATTGCCAAAGACTCCGGTTGCATTCTCTCTTATGATCCAAACTTGAGATTGGCATTATGGCCATCAGCTGAGGCGGCCCGGAATGGCATAATGAGTATATGGAATCAAGCCGACATCATAAAGGTATAATATATGTGGCTAGAAGATATTTATATGATTTACTTTATAAATGCCACAACACGTGGTTTGAATTTGTAATTTTATTCTCCTGTTTTTTTTTTTTTAAATAAGCATTTTGTTATTTTTCCCCCCTTAGTAAGTCTTATGTTGTACTTTCTTTTATGTCTCTGCAGATAAGTGAGGATGAGATTACTTTTTTGACTGGTGGTCATGATCCTTATGATGATAATGTTGTATTAAAGCATCTTTTCCACCGTAATCTCAAGCTTTTAATTGTCACTGAAGGGTCAGAGGGTTGTAGATATTACACCAAGGTAAATTTGTGATTTAACTGCGATGCCAAATGTCTAATTGGTGGGATAATCTATCATTTCATCGTTTTATTTGTTCTGTCTGTGCCGGTATTTGTGCTTGTATCAACATTTTTACTCTAATGAGTGGGCTGAATTTATGGTAGTGACTTAATGAATATAAATTTAGGAATGTTTCATCATGTTGTAATATACACAATGACTACTAACTACTTGAATCTGATACAAGGTTTGCTTTGATGTTCAATCATTTAAAGTTCTATTGTCTCTTGTGAGTGATTGGTGTTGAGCTAATGGTGATTGCCAAATTTCGGTGCAGGAATTTAGAGGCAGGGTTGCAGGTGTGAAAGTCAACCCTGTTGACACAACTGGTGCTGGTGATGCATTTGTTAGTGGGATTATCTACAACTTAGCTTCTGACCGAAGCCTTTTCCAGGTAATTCAAAACCTTTTAAACATTGTGGTTGTTTAAATTGTCCATACTCCATGTGAAATAAAATTTCATAAACAACCCTGTTTTGGAACATTTGTTTTATGTGGCAGAATGAGGAGCGTCTGAGAGAAGCTCTATATTTTGCCAACGTATGTGGTGCCATAACTGTAACAGACAGAGGGGCAATTCCTGCACTACCTACAAAAGAAGCGGTCCTGCAATTCAGTGCAAAATAGCAGCAACACTGACAATTCTTGTCATAAAATGTAATATTTGTTTCTAAGCTATAGCTTGGGTCCTGCTGAGCTTCATGTACCCCCCCCCCCCCCCATCTGTCTTTGTCCTTTGTCCTTGGGGCTGTATTTTTCATATATATAATAAATTCAATTTCCATTGCTCTCTCAAGCTGTCTTATAGCAGTTGATCACACAGAATGGCTTCTAGTTGAAGTGTTCTAGAGATCTCCATCTGTAATAAAGCGGAAGGTTTAATTAAGAAAATGAATTAAATGTTTTATCTTTGTTTTTTCAATACACAAAAGGCTTGACTTAAAATAGCCTTTCGTGGCATGGCAGGTGCAAATGGATTAGCTTCCACTGTGTAGAGAGGCGAAAAAATATCCGTTGAAGTATAATTAAAAGTAAGAAGAAAAATGTATATACACAACCTAAAAATTAGACTTTGCAAAGCATGTCAAATTTAAAACTCCAGGCAGTCTGAGTCAAATTTTTAGAAATAAGTGTGTCGTAAACAAAATTTAATTTTAATCAAATAACAAAAATGAAGTGTTAAACTTTCAGGTTTAATTGTATTTTTAATCCTTGTCTGAATTATATGTAATATTGGTTTTGCTAATTTTTTTAGCTAGTTAAATTTTTACTTTTGAAATTTAACAAATTTAGTCTTTTTATGATTCCCTTCTATCTTAAATTTAATTTTTATTTTTACTTATTTTTTAAAAATTAAATCAATTAAATATTTTTATTTAAAATATATGCTTCAAATTTTAATATGTTATCAAATTTTCACTAAATTTTTTACTTTTACAATTTTTTAAATGTAAAATAAGTTGGTTAAAAAAAAATAAAGAAATTGATAATTTTTTTTTAAAAGTCGATAAAAGACTAAACCCAAGTTTTATAGCGCACACAAGGGTTGTTGGAATCAAATTACACGAGATAAAATGTGATTTATGAAGAAAGAAGCAAAGGAATGGTTCATTTTGCTGCTGCGTCAAATTGGTGTTGGGCATGTGCAAACAAGTCACCCCCGGAAAAGGACTGAATCGTCTATCTATCCACAATGACCATACCATAACTGATAACTGGTAACAATAACAAGCCAAACCCATTTTCGCTTTGGTTTTAATTGAACCGAACCGGGTGGGTTGACGCCGCTGTTCGGAAATCAGAAAGCTGAATGCGAGTGATTGGGTTCCCAAATGGCTACGAACCCTTCGCTTCTTCCTGAGATCGGACCCGACGGTCTTCCTAAAGAAGCTCCCGTTATCAGTTACACCGAGAAGGTTCTCTTCTCTTCAATTTCCTTCTCTCAAACTCTCTTCTTTAATTACTGCATTTTTCATTGTTTTTCTTGTTGTTGCAGATCATCGAAGCGGAACAGCTTCAATTGCAGAAGTAACTTCTCTCTCTGTTTCTGTTCATTTGGATCTGCCAATGACTCTCTGTTCCATTTTTAACTGTCATTATGCGGTTCCACTTTCTGCATTCTTTTAATTTGAGTCAGTTTATTCTCGCGTTGAAATCCAATTTTCATGGACCTGTGGATAGTTTTAGGAGAATTGAAGATTCTAGATTAGAATGAATTCAATTCATGTAATTCCGCGATTCTCCATGCAAGAACAAGTAAGCAATGGCTGTGTAAGATTTAGAGTTGATAACGACACCTACCAGGCTACAACCTAGGGGATGACAGGAACTTGGTGTTCTCGGTTGGGATTATATGGTTTTAGGTCAATTGTTGTGAGAGATTTAATTGGATTGATGAAGGAATGGAGCGATAGCATTTTTGTGAAATATGATATTCATGAAGCTTGAAGCACTGGTAATTTGTTGTTAGAAGAAGGAAGTGAAGGCGATAGTTTTTGCATCTGTACTTAAAATGTTGAAATATTTGGGTGAATGGAATTAATTGCATTGCTTCGGTGGTACTAGCACTTGTAGTCCGTTTTTATGAATTACGACAAGGTTGGTGGTGGCGGAACTTGTGTATAAATGGGAATTAATTGCATGTTTCTTTTCTTTTTCCAAAAAGAAAAAAACTCTGACTTAACTCTTCTGAACTTGTAATAGTATAAAATATGAATTATGCAACTAGTATCTGGTTTGGACATACAAGAATTTTGGGATTTCAGCAATTAATCCTTTTGAAATGTGAATAATAAAAAATAAATGTAAACTTGCTGTATTGTAGTATAAATAAGAACATTATCCTGGGTTGTTCTGAATGTCCCTTGGTCCCTTTTCTCCACTATTGCATGGAGGGATCACTGGGTAACTTTAAAGATTGAACGAGGCCTCTGTTTATTGCCACTGAATATTTTATGTGGACAAATTTAGTAACTAGATTCAATCATCCTGATCTCTTATATTGTTATTTTTTTCAGATACATTCAAGAAAACTATTCCAAAATTCGTGATGTGGAGCGTGAGCTTGCAAATCTTACACTGGAGATGAAGCTTACAGCTGGGCCAAAAAAAGCAGGTTTCTATATATCATTATTGTCCTTTCTGGCCTAAATTTATAAACGTCATTCTTCCCTGTATTTTATAGTGAAATGACATTTCTTTGCATTTTATTCATGTTGCATACTTTAAGCACTTGAACTTTTGAGAAAGAAAATAGAGACATCAACCGAGAGAATCCGTGTGGCCAAGCTAAAGGAAGAACAGGCACGGAAGGTCTGTTACTTTGTTACTTTAAGATTCTCCACTTTTCTCCTGTGATTTTCATAATATCAATATTTTAGTGGTATTGGTGGTATGTACTACATCATGCTAGTGCCATTATCTGCTTACCATATGATTTCTGATCTTGAGTTCACTAGTGGCTCCATGAAGTTGCTGAAATAGATAATGAGGATATATATGTTAATGAACACTGGTGGTGATTGTGAACTGCTGCATGAATTGTTCATTGTGTACTGAATTGGCTTGTAGGGTTAAACATTGCATTGGAGATATATTCCCAGTTCCTTAATTCTTAGTAATACTAACGATCACATAACTGGCGATTACATTTTTTAAGCACTTTACCCAACAAATGAAAGTAAAATAGTGATTAAAAAAATTCGTTTAATTGTAGTACATACTAGAAAGTTTTACTCAGTTTCAATTAAATAGTTTTCCTTCTTTCTGTTTGTCTGTGTCTGTCAGAAGAGGAAGAGTTTATTTAATGAAAATGAGATCTCTCGACCATTATTGATTATTGTGTGAACAACAAAGGAATTGATTATATTTTTATTTTTTTTCATTTTCTTTTCCCACATTTGGGTTCTAATTATAAAGTTGAACACACTAAATCACAATGGATGCTGTACAAGTAAACTGCCAAGAATTATTTATATGGATATGGATGAGTGTAGCCAACTTCAATCATTTGATCTATAAAATTATCAATCAGTATGCTAAGTATCGTCTCAAATGTAGTTGATATCTTGAATGTTTGTGCTGCAGGTGTGGGAATCAGCATCAAAAGTAGTGAGGGATGAGGAAGCAATGAAGCAAAAGCTATGTGAAGATTTGAGCAATCTGGTAAATAGTGTTATATAAAGACATAATAAACTACTCTTTACCTGGTTGTTTGATACTAACTAACAATCTTACACAGGTTCAAGAAAGCAGTAACTCTCAGTTTGCTCGGCTTGAAGAATTAAAAAGAAGATTGGAAGCTTTGAATCCAAGTCGTGCATCAACTAATCCTTATCATGTATGTTTTTCTCACTATTCATCATTATTAGATTTATATAGTTAATGGTGGCTTCTAAGCTATACGCCTAATTTTGGGGTGCATACAGTGTAGTGCGCTGCTTAACGAATTAAATGTTGTTCTGAACTTCTAACTACACATCCTGAGCTTCATCTATAATAAGAATTTCTTGTAAGAACTGATAATATTTCATTTGGAATTGTTGGGATTGAGGAAATGGGTTGTTGGAGAAACGGGAACCTGCTTGCATTTTCTGAAAATACTGCCTTTTTCACAGTTTCACCATGTTCTTGAGCACATTTAGACAGTCATGCACAATAAATGTTCTGCACATGCATCTTCATATCGCACCAGTAAATTTATTGATCATGCACTTCAATTAGGATGGGAGATCGGGCAGCTCTTCTCAGGATAGTACACCCCAACATGGTTCCTCAGCTCCCAATGCTACGGAATCAAGTGGGGGATCAGCCGAGAGTGTTCCCAACCAAGGTAATGGTCAGAGAGTTGTGTCAACAAATGGGCCTTATGAGCAGCCTCATAGCGAAGGAGAAGGAAGAAGTAAAAAGAAAGTTAACTTCCAATTGAAAGGAAAGGGAATCGGTGCTGTGCCCAAGGGTAGATCTTCAACTCCTGGCTGGACTGGTGCTGGCTTTGATGTAGATGCCAGAACCTGAGAATCTATAATAAGATATTACTGCACTGAATTCATTTTGGGTGAGAATATGTACTTTTTGTACAAGGGATATCCTTCGGTCCTCTGTTCTTGTTACCCATTAACTTGGAAATGTAGTCTTCTTCCCTCAATTCAATTGTATTATTTCCGGGATAGTTGGTTGACACAAAGGAATAACCTGACTTGTGTTGAATAGCACGCAAACTTGTGAATGCCTTCAGTTACTTTCAGGCAAGAACAAATCAATATGTGGAGATAGAATAGCCCTTCTGATTATGCAAGTTGTCATTCTCTTTTGATTTATTTGTTTTGAACTTATATAATAGTTCTACCATTTTCCTTCTTTTTGCAAGTGTCGATGTGGTAATCTTTGATGAAACAACTATTGCTGCTTCACAGAGACAACTCCATAAGGGTCAATTCAAGTTGTGAAGAAACTAATTTCCGTTTTTCGGTGCTTGGATAGGAAATTGGAAGTTAAAAACTCGCAATAGAATTCCACTCTGGGATTATAAATGTTTTAAATATTTCAACTTTCATTCTTTACCCACTCTGTATATAAGAGGGAGGGCCCAATTATGAAATATGTTTTTTTTTTTTTTTGAACGGGGGCAGGTTCCAGGAGATTTGATTGCATGCGTGATGAAAAACAGTAATGTAGTCAGCAGGATATCAATGCACTGAGAAAAAGTAAACCTTAATATTATAATTGTGTCAAAAGTCCTAAAGTAATGTAGGTTAAATAATTATTATTAACAGAAAACTAATGAAAAATTTTATGTTTGCGTGTGTAAACCAAGCATGCACCATATCGTTAAGGGCATCAGGTGAACTTTTTCGTTCATTTTGCTTTCTTAGTTTTATAAAGGAACCAGAACTTGTACTTAATTTGTCATCTATACCACATTGTTAAATCCATGAACATTCTATTAGTTTATTCAATATGTCATATGAAAATTAACATGAGCCAAATTTATTTGGTTAAAGATCGTGCGAAATGGCTAAGGAGCACCTCCGGCTCATTTTGCTTTTTTAGTTGAAAAAGGAACCAGCGCTTGTAATTTGTTTGTCAAATTGTCATCTATACCACTTTATTAGATCCATGAATATTAAGTCAGCAAATCTATGTATTCATGGATTTATCATGAATATTCATCAATAGCAAAGCTATGTATTCTTTATTTCACTGATTTCAGAAAGTGAAAACAACTACAGTTATAGCAATACACTAACTATAGGAATGCTAACAATTTATTCTTTTGAAAATATATTTTAACAAACTCTTGTAATGAGTTTGTTTTTTATTTTGAATTATAATATTAATGCTTTCACGTAATAAAAAAAAATTCAATTACAAGAAATGCGTCGAAAAGCACATTTATCAGGTAATATTGTTAGTATTTCTTTATTGAACTAACTGGTTCAAAAAGCTTTTTAATATTTTCAACTAAACCAGACAAATTTTACGAAAATAAATATAGGTACGTGGAGAAAACAAAGCAACGAAATGTGGGTTTTTAAGGAGTATATTTTCTTAGAAGTCTCGAAAGTAAAACGTGGATAGTTCAGTGCTTTACTTTACAGAAAGCAATAACTAAATCACGATTGATTCAAACAAAGGTTTATTGTGGCATAGCAAATATACTATTGAATTTGAAACATAGATAAGAGGCTTTAGAAGCATCAGCTGAAAGTGAAGCATGGTTTTATGATGGAATTTTTGGGAGACCTACAAAGAAAAAGAAAAGAGACAACAATGGTTCTCACAATTGTACCAGTTGGTGATGGGACATGCATTTTATATCATCATTTTTCTTTTCATTTTGTTATCAGAATAATTAACTCCCTATTTCTACTCTGATTCTTGCAATTAAGATCGTTCGGCTACAAGTACTGTATTAAATCTATGACTCAGTATCAGGCTGCACCTGCAACGATTGTACCTCAACTTGTAACAACAGAGACCCTATTTGATGGGAGTACCTCTAATTGTAGTAACAGAGTCACAGTCAAATTATAAGTTATTTGATATAGTATCTCTGTTTCTACTGACTGAGTCACTCCTTCAGAGTTCTTAAGGAGATCCTTCTTAATTTTCTTAACTTTAAAATTGATGTTTCTAGTTTTTCTTTATTTTAAGTTTTTATTTTTCATAATTTATTTTTAGTAAATTACATTATCCTCTCCTCGTGAGAGATGTTTAAATTATGATATCTTTTTTTTATTGTAAAATATGCACTCATTTCCTTTGGAAGATAAATATATGTGTTACATTTAAATTTATTTTAAAATAAACGAGTTGTTTTTTATGTGTTACAAAATGAAACACTAATAGTGGCAACAACACTCTACAATTTTAAGTTGCAGTTCAAAAACATGATATTGAAGCTTTTGAATGCAATGAGAAAAGTTAAAGATGAAATCCATATAGATTTAAATTTCTAGAAAATCAAACAACAATATATTCATATTTAATAAATTATTTTGTCTTTTAAATTTAAATTAAGCTTTGACTTTGTCTTTTAATTATTTTTTTTCAAATTTATATCAAGTTTCTTTTTTCTTTCTTACATTTGGTTTAGCTAAAAAATATAAAAACGAAAAAAAGCCTCACAAACAATTTGAATCTCGACATTCATGTCAAGAAAGTGAGAAAGAAACAATATTTTTCAGTTTTATATTTTTATTCTTCCGTGATTTTATTCCCCGTGTGCAGTATGCACCCTGATGGTTTTCTTTCCTTGTCATTTACTTGTGCTAACAGTTAATTTTGGATTTTTTTTTATTTTATGAAATAAGTAAACAATGAAAAAATTATAATAAATTTATTTTTTGTTTTATTATTAAGTAATATTATACTTTGTAATTTTAAATTAAATATTTATATTATTTAATCAAACATATTAAAATAATAAACTAAAATAAAAGATTTATTATAATATTCGCATAAAATTCACCTTTTTTTTATATTTCTCTTATGTCAAATAACTTAGTAATCTCTTCATCTTTTTACTATTTTTCCACTCAAATTATTTCTTTTTTTATATTTTGAATTTCTTTCTCAAACCTGTTAGCATAAAGGTATCCCTTTTGCCACTTGAGATCATTCAATTATATGTAATTGTTTTTCAATATTTGGCTTCTTCCATCAGCATCTTGTCCATTGTAATCGTTAATATATTATGTATGGCTTTTTAATAAATATCCCCAGATGTATTTCATGTCATATTTTTATAAGGTAACTATGATATACTTTTTTCTACCATCATTTTACTATTGAATCTAGCTTCTTTTTTCTTTACTAGATGCATTTTAAAAAACAAATTTATAAGGCATTATATTTTTTTTATTTGAATATAATATGAATGAAAAAAAGTTTTATAAAACTTAGTGCACAGACACTGTTCTTTCTCGTACCTAAAAAGAGAAAAGGGAGGACTATAAAGCGGATGCATCACTTTTTGAACTAGGATAAAAAGGTGGAATATGCTCAGAGAATCATATTCTATTTGGTTCTTACTTCATGGAAGTTTGAGATTGTAATCTAGCGCAAGACCACACTAGTTTTTCAGAAAAATAATGAGATTTTGCATGAAAACGTTTGTGAACTTCTATGCGAGTATTTCACTTTTTCCTTTTTGTAGAACAAGCTAAAGTGTTGAAAATATAACACAAAAGAACATGTTTTTTTTTATCCTTTTCTATTCTTGAATAACACAGTAGGAGATTTTGGAGGGAGAGATATAATTTATATCAAATATGAAGTCATTATATTTGGTTATAGAATTCATAAGTTTTATTTAAAGAAAGATATTATATATATTTTCTGTCTAATAATTTCTATGTTACGGGAATCCCGATTTAAAAATAATCACCTTCTTCATTTTCATTTGGTTGTGATTATCAGTAATCGAAAACAAAAGAAATAACCTGAACCTTCACTTTCAAGTTTCAAATGTTAAAGAACTTTCTTCCAAAAGCTCGAGTCAATTACCACTTTTCTTCATATTTTTTTTTCAATATACGTGTTTCACTTAGTGGGTATATTAGCTGAGAGATTGTAAACATATTATTTTTATTTTATAAAATTAATTTTAAAGTGAATTTATTTATTTGGAATTTCTATAACAAAAGTGTTATAAATCTTAATATAAAATTGAATTCTTATCACAAAAACTATTTTTTCGCTTTTAGTCAAACATGCTTTTGCGATGTAACAAAAAGAATGCTATTGGGAGATTAGAGAAAAATTAATGAGAAACAACCAATCATCATTATTATGTCTTTAAAATCATGTTCACTCGTCTCAAACTCTATTTTGGAACACAAATTTTCCAACACATGCTACTAATATATTCAATAACATCAAAGTTATATATGACAGCCGAAACCTAAACTGTTAGTAGCACAGACAAAATAAGCGGGAAATTCAAACAACAATACAATAAATACTTAATTAAATGGGCGACATGTAGGTTTGTGTAACTATGTCTGATCGTAAATGGTGGAAACAGGTAAAGAGACTGAGACTGAAGATGGATGGCGGTGTCCAATTTAATGTTTACCTGTTTAGAGTAACACATGGTTCGCTTATAGATCTGTTTCTTGTGCGTGTCCTTCAAAGGTTTGGGATATAAGTTTGTGATTGTTTGGTACTGCATGCATTATCAATTATTTTCACAACATGAACTGAACTTTGCTTGGATGATGATAGTGCATTCAATAATAATGAGTAATTGATTGGGTGAAAAGGCTCACATAGGGAAAGCTGACAATAATTTAACATAAAAAGAGAAAAGAAAGTGCAGTGGCCAATCTTTTTGTTAAGGGAAGATGCAATTTATTTATCAGTACTACAAATTTTAACACACTGGCCCAGACAAAAAAATAAAGGATTATAGGGGGAATCTATCCTTTTTTGAAAACATAAATTTTAACAGCACGTATGGAAATTTCTGGTTTTATTCCTTTTCAGTTGCGTAGTGCAACATATAAATGCATGAGGCTATCTATAACTTGAAGAAAATCATATTGTTTTGTTATTGCCGAAGAAGTTTTACCCTTTATTAAATGAACATATCATTTTGAAAGAAAAATTGAAATTGAATTGTCATATAGTAGTACAACTTAAATAAGGTGCTAACTGATAAAACTGTTTAAAATAATAAAATAACAAAGAGTATATAAGAAAATAACAAAAAGTGTAACTGATAAACTGTTTACAATAAAATAATAAAACTGTTTATAATAGAGTAAAAGAAAAACATAATATTATATCCTAATACCTTTCATAATAAAATAATCAATTCTATTTTTCTTGATAAGTCACAATTTAAAAAGCATTGTTATTCCTTTATATAAATTAAGAGATCATACTAACAAATGTACGTAGAACACAAGCTAAAAATTTGAAATTGGATTACATACATACACACATAATATATAAATACATCGATCACGATTTTTCATGTATTTCAACTACTGTAATTTTCTTAAAAAATTATTTATCATCTTAGTAATATGAAAGTGTAATAAATATTATATTTTTAATAAAAATTTACAATTTATAAGTACTTATATTAAACTCTAAAAATTAAAGTTAATTAAATTAGTATTTATAATTACTTAATTAATATTTTTGTTTGAATTTGTGTCCTCGAACAATATTAGCTCTAATTAACTCATCAACATTAATAGTTGATGAAAATGCATTTTATAAAATATTATATTGTCTTCAATTTTAATAGTTGAATGTAAGCATTTATAAATAGTAATTTATTATATAAAAATATATTATTATATTTTTTTGTTCTCAAGATATATTAGATATTATAATAAAAAATAATTGCTTGTAATTACTTATTTTTATACAAATATTTATAATAAAGTGATATCTTTATTACTTTATGCAAATATCAGAGGCAAGCATGCAAGTCATATGAAGTCATAAGTTTTTTTTTTCAAAGAGAACATATTGACATTTAATGTGTGTGTATATATATATGTGTGTGTGTGTGTGTCCGCTTACGGTAGTTAATACTGGAGAAATTGCACTAAAAAATTTCACAACACTGTTCTTAAATTTGGTCAATCTCTCTGCAATGTGTCTAACGAGGATGTTACAATAACATTTCCCTTCCATCAGTTACATGATGTTATGCGGGCAGAGAAAGTGATAGTAGGGGTTGCAATCGTTAGAATGCACGAGTACAGCAACACTACTACTGGAAAAAAACAAAAACAAATTCAATAACTTTGTTAAACGTCCTGAAGCTATAAACAAGAAAGAAGGAATTTTACAGAGAAAGATGCACTAGTATGTATAGAAGACCTACTAAAAGAGAGAGAATAGTTAAGTAATGGGATTTGATTCTTATCCAAAATCATGAGTTTTAATTCACAAAACCACGTGGCTTCAAAGTGGGACCCATCCTCCATGAATGATGGATCGATGGCATCACGTGAAGCCCCTCCCATCCCATGTGACACCCACTGCAACATCGAACGACGCCGTCGTTTACGTGCAAACCCATCCTTCCTCGTCACCAACCATAACGGTAAACGTTTCATGCACCAACGTCTCCCATATGTTTCGTTCGATCTCCCCCACCAACCAGTCTCTTCCTTCTCCTTCTCTTAACTCTTCTATCTCTATCAACCCATCAATGTCCTCTAAAACTTCACATTTCGCACGTGGGAAACTCCGAATCCTCTTCCACACTGTATCTAACACTACTCCCTGGTTACGGTTACACATTGGCCTAGTCAGAATCTCCGACAACAACTCATCGACTAAATCAAACAGTAAGCGACGGTTGCAACGTAGACCCACATGGTGTTTCTGCTTAAAGATGCAATCTTTATCCTTGTTAGACAAGGAAACAAAGGAATCAGATGTTGGATAGTGCTCAAGACGGTGAAAAATGAAAGGGTCCAATGGGTGTGTTGAAGAGAACCATTGAAATTGAAGATGAGGTATTGTAGCTTTGTATACTCCAGTACGGCTTAAAATGGCTGAGATGTACTGATATTCTGGTCCTTCATCGTCAGCTCCGGTGGTGGTGTTCAGGGTCCGTTGAGATTTGTCCTCATCGATGTTGGTTCCTCGGGTTGCGAGTGTTTGCGTCGCTTCTTGTTCGTACGCATGGCGCGAACAACTAAATAACCGTGTGCTGAGCTTTGCTTCTTCAGTAGTGTCATCACATACCTGTGACTGTTTTTTTTTTACCGTAATAGACACGCAAAAATTAATGAATAGTAAAAAACAGAGAAGAAATTAATGTATTGTTAATAAATAATTAATCAGAAATTGTAAAATAGTTGAGTTTTTTAATTTTTTAATACAAGTAAAAAAAGTGAAGATTGAAAGGTGTTGCAATTTGATAAAAGGGTACCTGTTTTTGAGGGGAAGGGCCCGTCTTGAGAGGGAGAAGATTGGTTGAAAGGGGATGAGTTTTCTTGCTTTTGGTTTTGATGTCATTGGCTTTAGTGGCTGATAGGGGACGGGTGATAAATGACTCTTCTTGCTTGTTTCTGATTGATGTCTGTGGAGGTTTGTTGAGCCGGGAACTCAACTTTCTATGGGGGGTTTCCTTGCATTTTGGGACAGATTTTTGGTTCTGCATCTCTTTCTCTGGCAATGAATGAGGCTTTGTTGAAGCTCTTGAGAGCCGTACTTCAATGTTTCCTACAGATGGAGGTGATGGTGGTTTTAGTAGTGAGGGTGTGTTTTGATCTTTTGCAGCAGTTGGTGGTGGTTTTGTGCTTGGTTTGTGTTTGGTATCTATGAATCTGCTGAGTCTTGGAGAGTGAGATGGGTTTGAGAGCTTTCCTGGGCTGGATTCATTCGCTGATGTCTTGGGTGGTTTCTTGAATTTGAATTGGCTAACAAATTCTTCCCTTCCTTGATCTCTGCTTTTGACAATGTTGGTAATGTCTAACCCAACTTTTCTGCTCACACTTTCTCTAACCTGTTTGACAATTTGCCTGGCATAGTGGCTTGGACTCCTGCTATTATTCTCATCATATTTCCTTTTTGAAAATGAGAGCCGAGGAACCTCTAAATCCTCACCAAGGACCATGTTCTCCTTGTTGATTTGGAGAGATAGTCTATGCTCAACATCTGATCTTCTTCCCGACGACATTCTTGGAGTCTCAGGCAAGGAATGAATGGCTATGTTGTCACTGCCTGTGCTGTTTCTGTGTTTCATTATTTTGATGTGTTGCCGTGGTCTATGACCTTGTTGGTTTGGAGGGGAAAGGCATGAAGAAGATGGGGAAGAGGAATGTGCATCAGGAAGAAGATCAAGACCCATTAATCTGGCAACCAAAGTAGGTGTCTTAGTCCCTGGCGAGGCACTGATTTCGGAGGAAAAATCACTCAAACTTCCTGTTGATCTTGTGCTTCCACTTGTTCTGATTCGAATATTTTTCTGGATTTCAAGAATCAATTACAAACTAGTTAATTGATCAAAATAATCATTTTTACCATCATTACTCACTTAACAGAATAAACAAACCCAAATACAAGTGGGTGAAACTCATAAAAAATTGGTGAAAAGTTAGTTAAAGGTAGGGGTCAATATATAAACTTACTGGGATTTTAAAATTTTCTTCTTTTGAGATGGATGACACAGTACCATCTTCTGATTCCAAGCTATTCCTAGGTGCTTCAGCTCCTGAATTATATAAAATCATAAGCCATAGTTCCCACAGTAATTAGGTGTTTGAGATAGAAAAGTGGTTATTTTAGACCATAACGTAGACTATAGAAAGAATAATGTACCTTTGGGGACACGGGGGTCATCTGGAGTGCGAGAAGTAGACTTGAAAGAGGGTTGTTGGTGGTTTAATGAAAAGTGAAAAGGATGAAAATCAAAGGCCTGAAAGACTGCACACATGCAACCGGAAGGGATTTGTGTTTCAGCTCCTCCACCTCTTTTGGAGGACCTTCCACCCCAATTCCACTCCTTACCCATAATTGGTAAACTTATGCCTTTCTTCAACTTTCAAAATAAGAAAGATGATTTGTAGATGGGATTGTCAAAGTGATAAAATCAGAATGAAAATGACATTATAAGTAACCAGCAGTCTCAGACACAGAGAGAGAAAGAGAGAGGCTGTTTTTGTAGTGTTTGAGGTCTTTGCAAGATAATCTAAAAAGGCTTGTGGGATATGCAGGTGAAGAAGCGAGAAAAGCGGATCCTTGAAGCATAAAACGGTCATATTTGATGTAAGGAATTAAAGTACAATTCAATTTGTGGTGATGTAATGCAAGTGTTTTTTTTTTCCTCTTACATCTTTAAAATTTTTAACCTTTTGAGAAGAATATTACTCTCTCTCTCTCTCTCTATATATATATATATTATCATGATCGCACTCACTCCTAAGCCTGCTTGGAGGGAACCAAGCCTGCTGCTTATTGGGAACTGAGATGGGTAAAGGAATTAAGAATTGAGGATGTGACTACGCACCTCTCTTTCTAGTTCTTCTCCATCAGTCTCTCTCTCCCTCTCTGATTCTCTTCATTTGTTGTATTAGATTGATGCTTATATATCCTAGGGAAAAAAAAGTTGTTATACATTCATATAACGGAGATATGTATAAATTTATGTAAATAAAATTTCATCCTAATCCTGTGCTAATATTTTAATTACAGCCCCCTCTCTCGCTTTGAGATCGTACTACAATTAATGTGAGGTGATTCTTATATTAATATCTTGCTAATTATCAATCCAATGTCATTACTCAATAGGGATATGTGAAATCGCTACATCCTTGCAGTTTCAAAATACTATCACGTAAACGTACCTACAATTAATATTTTAACATTTTATTATATGGAACTAATTAATGGTAGTTTAATAGGAATTTCATTTTTTTGGGTGATGGTGGAACTATATTTAATACAGTATTATATAATGTTGTACATACGGGATCCACATTCACTCATCAAGTGTCAATCCTGAACATTTATTTCAGATCTGCTTCTGTTAATCTTTCTATAACATTTTTGAATTGAATTTTCAATGTCATTGGAAAGAATTGTGTTCCAACAGCAAGAAAGAGATACGAATAAGCGGCTTTTTTTTTCCTTCTGTTTGTTCTGATGGAAGTTCATAATTTTCCGGTCCAAATTTTGATATGAAAATAGAACTACTTTCACTGTTAGTGCTAAATCTCACGAGGTGTTCCTGCAAATTCGTCTAATAACCTTGCATTTTGAATATTTAGATCTAACCACGACTAACTCCAATGATCAATGATTTGATAGCTTGTTGGAGTCTTTGAAACATAATATATATAAAATTAACTCGTGTGATGTACTAGCTAGTAACGATATTTTCAAATAGTAGTTATATTTAGGTTGGATATGCATTTATTTTAAATAATTTTACTTATGCTTTATAATTTTATATCAATAAAAATATTATAATAATTATATAAATGATATTATTTTATCATTTTAAAATGACTCATTAAAATTATTTTTAATTTAATATTTGTATTTTTATATGATTTTTTATTAATTCTATTATTATATTAAAATCACGTTGTGCTTATAATATTTGAAAATTTTCATATTTCTCAATATGTATCGTATTTATGTCTTGGGATCGTATCCATGCTTCTTAGGTGATGTGTGAATAAAGATTGCAATTAAATATATATAGCTGATTTTTAACATTATATTATAACTAAGGTCACGAAATCAAACCAAGTCCTTCTGTACCTCGTACAACAGTTAAGCTCATAGCTGTTCCAAGCAAGGGATTTTCCATCAATGTGAATTATTATGAGATGCAAAATGATAACTTCTTATTTTGTAAAACAAAATGAAAAGGTTTTCGGTAGTGTATCAATTTGGATAAAATCAAAATATTCCTTTGCCAAAATGTGTCACAAGTTAGAACAAGAGAAGCTTATAACAGGATATTGTAAAGAGTGTGAAAATCTATACTCGACGCGCCAAAAGAATTATCATTATTTCGGGTCACTTTTTCTCACACTTAACCTTACACTACACTTATTAAAAATTTAAAATGGGGAAATATTGGCATGTTATAGTCATATGAGATTATTTAAAGTTTTAAAACATTAAATAAATATTAAAATATTATGGTGATCAACAAAAATAAGTGCATAATGGGTGATTTATCTTATATTAACCCTTGAAAAAAAATCGTCTTTTTAATTTTCTTTCTCTCCATATTTTTATTACTTAATTTAATATTTTTCAACAAATATAAAGGTAGTGTAAGCATTAAGTAATACGGGATAAAACTCAATCCACCAATAAAGGTAGTTTAGTGAAAAAATTTATTTTATTTTTTAAAATATTAACATCAATCTTTAACGTTAATTTTAAATATTTAAAAATATAAATTTTTACTGAAAGATAAATATTTATTAAATTAAAAATATAAATTTCTACTTACACCACACACACATGTTCTCCAACAATAAAGGCTTTATCAGTGGTTGATTCAGTTCTTTGTAGAAAAAACGATCAATGATTAGATCCAATATAGGGTAAGAGAAAGCTGTCTAAGCGGTAAAATACCCTTAAAACGGGTAGATACAGAGCAAGGAGAACGACAGATACCAAATTAAGGATAGAACAAAAGTTCTACCTTCTAGGACAATACTAAAGTTTGACATTGAGATAAATAAAATGATTGGAGTTACAATAATTGAAAAGTATATAGAATAATCCAAGGGTATGTGCTTCCTATTTTAAGTAATCAAGGCTCCAATATTCAATCACCACCTTTATCTCCTAATTGCACCACCCATTTAAAGAGAGAATAATATCTGATTTAACGTAAAAATTAACCCAAATATACCCCATAACGTGTAAAAGTTTTAAAAAATGCAAGAATATAGCATAAATAATTGTGTTCACTCCCGTAAAATTTGGCATTAAAATATAAAGGAATATTTCAAAAGACACCAGAACTATGTACAAGTACAGCGTGTGATATTTTGGCATACAAGTAACCTTGTTGATAAAGATTGAAGTATGAATTAACAATGTTTTTATTTTTCTCACTTAATATTCTCATTAATGAAATCTTGATTTTTTACATCAAACTTCACGAATAAAAAAGTATTTTTCTTGCATCTCTCTTTGCAATTTTCATTTTAATCCCAAATTAATTGAGCATCAGAAGTTTTACGTGTAAAAACTGAATTAAAATTAATTAAGAAAAAGGACAGTACTTTGATTTCAGTACGTCACGAATCGAAATCAGGAAATGAATGAATTATGGAAGAGCTAATGAATTAATATTTGCTGCGCTAACAACAGAGGCAGGGATTTGACTGAGTTAAATAATTAGTGGCAGAGCATTGATGTGAGAAATGCCCTCCTGATTCACTCACCCACTGATTTTAATCTTCTTCTCCAATCTATGTACCATGCATCTCTTACAATACCTAACAAAACGCAATGCCATTCAATATTTTTCAATTGTTAGATGAACAACAACATTCAAATCACCCCACTACCTCTCACTCTGCTCCAATCCACTCCATTTCAGTTACAAACATAATTGATATCTGCATCAACTCTTGTTCAACTTAAAATCAGTCATCAATACCTCAGACACAGAAATAAACATGGACCCCCCCCCCCCCCCCCCCCCAAGTCCCTTAACTTTCGTACACCATGTGCCCACAATTTGTATGCAGGTTTGCCGACACTTTTTTTTATGTCCACCAAAAATATTTCCCAACCAATTGTAAACACCTATTTCGTTCAAGCTATAAAAATGAATAATCGGTATTAAATGCCACTTTTAATAAACTATATATATATATATACACACACACACACACACATATATATATATATATATATATAATCAAATTTAAAATATTAATATGCTATAAGAGACACTAGTATTTATTTACCTACTGAATTGGAGTCACTAGCAAGTGTTGAGAAAATTACCCACTGATTGTCAAGCCCTGAAACAGTTATGTAAAATGTTACATCAGTTAGATTTGGATGACATTACTAATGGTAATCATGATGTAAAAGGGACCACAAGCCCTTGCTTTCAAATGTTTCCATTACCTATATAGATTCGAAAATAGAGCCTTATAATTCTATCATAACTGGGAAGTCCAATTTGGTGTCCTTTCGAACGTGGCTAGTTCTAGGGTGGTCCCAATACCTGCCTTCCAAGTTAATTAGCTGCAAATTAAGAAGCTCAGTGTTCATCTTCTCCATCTTTGATCTCAATATTAAACATAAACTAAACTTGTTTAGAAAAATCTTATCAACTTTCGTCCAACACATCACTTAAATTCATACAATCAATTTTTCTGTAATTACAATCTCACTAAGAAGTCTTTAAATAAAATAATTGAGCTGAAAGAAAAATCATTGTATGGGACTTCAGTCTACTCTTTACTAGCTAAAGGATAAAAATATATACTTTTGCCTAAGCCAAATATCTGTATACTTTGTTAGTTCCGTGTGCAAATTTCACGTGAGGCGCAAGGTATGTTTAATGGTACATTCGTATAAATTATGAGATCGTGTGCTTCTCTAGTACCATTCGTTCATCTTCACCTATGATCTTAACGTACCAACCTTAATTTCTACAATTTCAAATCGTTAGATATGGCACGATGACCGACGTGAGAACATGATCACGCATTAAACTAATTTCAGCCAACATCTCAATAAATAATGATGTTTGTATTTTGAAAACGAACATGTTATCCGTTATACAGATTTGCAATGTGCATTATAAAATGTGAAGATTAATATATTATGAGATACATTTTATAAGTGAATACATGATGTCATCTTCAGAGCTAGATTCAGTTTCAGCATAAATAAACTTGTCAGATTCCCCCTTACATCATTCCTGACCCCCCCTTAGACTCAGCTCCATATTCTATGTTATATCTATCTGGAGAGAGAGAGAGAGAGAGAGAGAGAGAGAGAGAACTTAGCTTCAAATTTGAAGTGGTCCTATTTCGCGGGGGGATTTGAAAATTCTAAAATACTAATATACTAAATTGGAATCAAACTTCGTGAGTGCGTACCATATAATTTGATACTAACTGTGATGTATTCATTTCCTTGTATTTTTCTTTTCCCTATTCTGAATTATTTATATTATCACTTTTGTTCTTTTTAAGCCTTTGAGATTTGCATCTTGAAATGATGGAAAACGTACACAAGCGAGGCCAAAACAGACAAAGGGTATCTAGCTATGATCAGAAGAAAATAGACACCTCTACTTGGAAGAGCTAAGTAGCTTTGAACGTGACAAGGTAAGGAAAGATAGATATGGGAAGAGGAGCGTCTGGTATGGTTATAAAACTTTAATTAAAGGCTGGTAGGGTCCTAATGGGGCAAGCCAACCTAGACAACAGAACATATTGATGCATTTACTTTCACATAGCACAAAGATTTTCATAGAGAATATATGTGTCTCATAGTACCGTCGGGGTATACACAAAAGGATATGATTTGAATTTTACAGCTTTTAAAACAACTATTATTGAGTATGGGAAATAAAATGAAATAATGCAAGAGGTCCCATTCCCTGTTCATGCAAATTATCCAAAAAATAATAAGAGACATAGGAGTGGGACACACATACACACACAAATATAGATTCACTGATTTTACCTTGTACCATGTGGGCCTAGTAGAAGTAGGCCTAGGTGTTCCCTCATCACATTAAACACTAAAGCCCAAACTTGAGAACTGGTAGAAACAAGTTCAACTTCTATATCTATACACTCGACCAAACAAATAAAAAAACCTTCTATATATATACAGTGCATCAAGATGGAAGAAAGACACAATTAGGGGAATCAAATTATAATTACTTCATTGGGATTTCAATGCTGATTGATCTCAATGCAAGTGAACGATTTTTACCTATTATGTTAAGAATTTAAATATTGGAATCATCACTTCATAGAAAGCTTTATTTAACCACTGCCCACCATCCTGATTTCGAAAACAATTTTGTTATTTGAACTATTAAAATTTAATATTACTTTATTTGTTTCTAGCTTGCTTAGCATAACCCATTAATCAATGGTCTGTATTTTATTTAAAAATTAATTGAAAATACAAAAAGAGAATATATGGAAAAAGAATGGAGTACAAGAGGAAAAGATTTTAATGAAATGGAATAATAATACTATTACTGTCGAACTTCACCATGCTACGCACGAAAAGATTTATATTATATAATTTATGAACACCTTTTTGGAAAAAAAGGGACGAAATTAAATTGAAAACATGTGCATTGATTCAACTCAATTTGCCTGAGATATCAGATATCCGACTGATGGGTGGGGAATATTTTGGTCTATATTTAAAAATTGCAACCCACTTCAGTCAATTATTTTTATTAATAGCAATCCTAACTAGACTAATTAAGTGATTATATTTTAAATTGGTGAAAATAATGTTGTTATTTGGTCAACATTATATATTAATGTATTATTATTTACTTTTATACACTAAATATACATCCTTATTCTTCTATCAAAAAAAATATACGCACTATTTTAAATGGGAGTATTTTAAGAAGTTATTATCTTCATTATAACATATGACTTCCCATGCACTTAGCATTTATTTTTTAAAATCAAGTTTAATTTAGATATTTAATTTTTATAAGTTTATCTCTTCAATACGGTCACAATTTCACAATTAATATAATAAATATTTTAATTTATTAAAATTTAAATGTTAATATAATTTTTTTGTATTCAAAAAAATTATTTTAATATACTTCTATATACTAAATTTGAGTTATTATTCTCACACAAGAAAATTTTTAAAATCTATCTTAAATGAAAATACTATTATTACGGCTATCATGTGGCTTTTTCTTTTTTTAATATTAAAATTTTTTATAATTTAAACATAAATTTTAAAAACATTATCTCTTCAATTCAGTCATATTGAATATAATAAAATATGGATTTTTAAAATTTTAAAATAATTATAAAATAAATTTTAATTCTATAAAAAAATTAATTGAACAGTATCCATCTAGTATGAAAAAAAAATCATTATCAGTTATAAGATAATTCTATTGCAAATATGAATACAACAGATACTCAACCCTTTCAAGTGTAAAGAAAGAAATACTTTAGTTAGAAAAAGATAGAATGAGAAATATGTATGTACTTGATGGTAAAGACGGTGGTATAAAAAGTTAAAAACAATTCTTATAATTCACTTCAACAACTAAAATGATAATCCCAGGAAGCTTCCTTTCCTTTTTTTACAAAATATCACAGTCAGTATTATAGAGGTGTGTCCTTAAGTATATACTTACACCATACACAGTTTATCCGTTGAGCTTTTGCTAAATCTTTTATTTATGCAATCCCTCTGTCACGTTTTCGTTTGTTTTGTCTATCAATTGTTTAAATAATTCTGGAAAAAAAGGGATTAAATAATAATATTATTATTAAAATTAAAAAGACGAAATAAAAATGGTATAGTTTTTAGAGAGACCAGAGAAAGTAAACAAAAACAACACGTAACAAACCTAATTACCAGAAGAATATTGAGGAATTAAAATTACGTACAAAATTTTAAAAAAAATTATGACTTTTAAAAAGTGTAAGACTAAATAAGAAAACTATAACATGTTCAGAGAATAAAACCATAATTTATTCTTTTAAATGTTGATTATAAGCTACGAATCACCCCCGCGCGGAAAAAAATTTGAAAGCTATCAGAAGTAATGTTCAAATCATTAACATGGAAATAGAGTTGGATATTTTTTTCCTTTGCAAAGGGTATGTCACAACATTATTCGTCAATTCTGTCCTAATTACTGTTCGCAATGATATTAGGTTTGTGTTTACCTGAAAATTTTGTCAGGTCATCGATTATACTAGGGAAAGGCACACATATACCTGGCTATCATTTCTAAAACGGATATTTCATTATTGATTTTGTTTGTCCTTTAGGAAAATGATCAAAAAGAAAGAGAAAAGTAGAGGGGTATCAGGAATATGAACTTTCTAAAAGAATTATCTTTTAACAACGATAGATAGATACATTTAAGAAACAAACAACGCATGTTACATCTTATGTCTACCTAAGTTTAGTCCAGAAAAGAATTCTATCATGGGCCATACAAAAATCTCTGCAACTCATCCAAAGCCAGTTTCAATGACATGGAACAGTGATACTAGTTAACTAGTATGTAGACCACTAACGCTAACTAGCTGCAAATTTCCCGTTTTGATTTATGAAGCTACGCACACCAAAACCTAGAGAGAGAGAGTGAACATCACTATGATAAAGTAAGCGAAAAATATACACAAATTTGGAACCTATGTTTAAAAGGCTCCTTTTCATGTGTCTTAATTAATACATACATTTTCCCTTTTTCAATGTCCTTATTTATCCCAAATTCAAATGAATAAGAACAAATAAAGTAGCCCAGACTATACAATAAAGGAAGAATTAAGAGGAACATTATAATTGATCTGAGCTTGAGAATAATGGAGATCTATCAGATTTTACAATAAGATAGGAAAGGATATTATTCTTGAGACGACGTTGAGATTTGTGATCATGCAAAACGATTAGAAGATTAATATCTACGTATATAATATAAGCTATCAACGCTGCTTTGGCAGTCCAATAAATAAGTCTGTCTCCACATCTAAACTCTGGCTATTTGAACAGCGTGGTGCTGCTTCAGCTTCTGCTTGTTTGTGTCTACCACATTGCTGCTGGGATGTCTTTTCCGCCCACTGCCATTGCCATCAATAACAAAACTTAGTGGCCCTTTCCCTAAGTACAGATTCCATCTTCACATTTTAGACAAAGTGTTAAATTTAAGTAATGTAACTATTATTTCCAAGAGGATCGTGCCATTCTTATATTATTTTGGATACACCTTTTTGCAATTCCAGTATTAATAGATCATTCAAAGAGAATGCATGTGTCGGAAGAAGAAGAACTTACGAGATCTTTAAATTAAAATAAGGAGTAAATGATAGAGGCAAATTCTATGGACAAGATAATTATGGAAGTTAGAAAGTTGGCTATTAAAAAAATGAATGTTACTTTTTTAAGGAAAAAAAATCCCTTTGAGAATGATAAGTTGAAGGACTGTTTGATTTTAAGGAATGCTCTGTTTTTGTTTTCATTTTTAATTATGAAAATATTATTTTTTATTTTAAAATTATATAAGAAATAGTAAAAATATTTTTATTGTTTCTTATGCAAATATTTAAAACTAAAATAAAAACAAGATAATCATTTTATAATAAAAATGAAAAAATATATATTTTTAAAATTAAACGACTCCTTTTTCTTCCTAAAGGTGAAATGCTTGTATTTATATATAGGAATTTTTTTTTGTGACGTGTTTAAATTGAATGTTTGTAGAATATAATATTTTATAATTTTACTTACATTATCGAAACAATATGATACTTTTTGACGTAATTAATTCCAAAGACCTAAGTGAAAGACTTGAAAATGACGTGATTTCTATTAATTACATTTTAGAATTAACTCAAAAAATCATGATTTCTATTGATGAAAGGACTTACAGAGAATAACGACCAACTTTTCAAGACTTTTATTAAATTTAAAAGTGTAGACAACTCACTGCTAAAATCCCACTACATTATCGCCCACTGTATCTTGTACCGTTGTTTAAAATATTGTCAAGAAAAATACTAATGCAAAATACTGGTTAATTTTATATATATTTTTTAAGAATAATGTTATTCTGTCCTAAAAATTTTATAATAGTTTCTACAGGGAGGTGAAACTAAGAAAATTTAAAATAAAATTTGAGAGAAATATAATACACAATAAGTAATTAAATAAAGATAAAAATATTATAAAATATTTGAGTGAGAATATTACATTACTCGATTTTTTGGTGTTATCAACTTCTTTTAATTAGAAATTACCTCTCATAATTAGGAGCAACAAATGTATAATAGATGAAAAGCTTTCATATTTTTTACAACTAGTTTATATTCTATGCAATCTACGGAATATTATTAAATTATTTTCTTAAAAACAAAAAATATAGATATAGTATATAATTAATTTTAAAGTTATAAATTTAAAAAAATAATGAATATCAAATTATAAAAATACATTTTAAAATAAAAAATAAATTATAAAAACTTTAAATTTTAAATTCAGATATCATTTAATTTTTTATCTTTATTAATATATGATGCTTCAAAATTAAAAAATTTATAATTATATTAAAATTAAGACTAATTAAGATACAATAGATAATCTTGAAATTCAAATTTATTTAAATGTATTTGAAATTTAAACTAAATTAAAAAAAATAAATGCTCAATACCAAGAAACTATGTGATACAATGAAGATAAGAATAGGTCAAAAAATTATTCTTATTTAAAAATAAAGACTTAAGTTTAATATATGGAATAGAAAAGTTAGACAACTAAACCTATATCGATCCTAACTCGTCCCTCCTTTATTACCTTAGATCAAGCGATACGAGGATGAGATCCTGAGAATTTCTTTGATTTACGACTGTAACCAGTAAATGACCACACTAATTAGCCCTATATTACTTGGTTTTCCTCCTTTTACTATTTTCAGGTATACATGCTCTTCGGTTTTTGTTTTTTGTTTCTGTAGAATTCCAAAATTAAGGTTGGTGCTAACAAATGATTTTTGAGCTCTGCAATCGATTGATAGCAAAGTTTTACAATAATTCTATGGTAATCTACACTAAATTCCACACGCATGCAAATTTTTTAACTTGTAAAGAGTACAAATTAAAAATTTATATATAATATATTGTTATTAAAAATAATATTAAATATTATCATATCTAATAAAAAATTATTATTAATTATTTTTTATTATGTACCTTTAATTTTATACAAGCTAGAAAAACTGCTGTGAGTGTATGTGTTTTAACTATTCAAATTATGGTTCTGAAAACTGTAAAAGAAAAATACTTTTTGAATAAACTAAATTAAATGTATTATTATGTGAATGTTAAAGTCAGTATTATTTGTTTAAGTGTTTATCTCCACATAATGTGATGTCAAAGTTACATTAAAAATATAATAATTTTATTTTAGTGGATCGTTAACGTAAAAATAAAAATTTATGAGTGAGTAGGAACAAAATTATACCTACCCCCCTTTTCTATTCTTTTCCTTACCTGTCTCCTCTAGTTGTAAGAATGATACTTTAATTTAAAAAGAAGATAATCATCTTGGTATACCTCACTTTTGGAATGTAGGGGTGAAAGAAAGAGATAAAAATATTAATATAATATGTTACAAAAAATAAATAAAATAAAATATAGAAATACAGAAGATATTTATAAATATAAATATTAAAAAATAGTGTTATTTTAACCACGTGTTTCTTTTTATATTGAAAAACAAAAATTGAAAACAGATTTAGTGATGTTTGTCACATTAATTAATGAGTTTAACATGTTATGTACTAACATAATCAAACTCGTTAAATAAAATGTTGACTCAAGATAGGCTGATAATCTAAAATAATTGTAAACTAAGAAACACCAAAATGAAACAATTGTCATAGGAAGAGTTGTTTTCAAGTGAGCGAAAAAACTGCTTTGAAGTATAAAAAAAATACAAATAAAAGTTTATCGATCCTTGCATTTAGCAGATCGTGATATATTTAAAGATTAAATTCAAAGATGAATAAACTCTTCTCAGATAATATGCAGAAAAATTCATTTTTAATTTTTTTCGCTACAAAAATATACTAATTAACCAACTTTCACCCAATCAAATTCCATGCCTCAACTTATTATCAAAGCTAAAAAGAATCTATTTATTTCATTTGTTTTTTGGAAGATAAAAGTTAATGCATGCACTATCAACTACATGGATCAAAACCAGGGAAAGATCAGAATCTCACCATTGCATTCAATTCGGCATTCTCTTTGACCAAGTTACTCTCCTGAATTCAGTGGGAAAAATGTGTTAGGTGTAAAGGAATTTCATAACACTAGTGTTTCCATGTAAGCAGCACTGAATTTTGGTTACCAGGGATTGCAGGTGCTCAATCTGCTCCATATATAGTTCAGCCTGAACAAATTAGGAAGATCAAAATCTCTAAATCCATTTATCGTTTCTTCATTAATTTAATTAGAAGGCAACTAGAGCATTTAATATCTGTAATCTTAACTTAGGTTTTTACTTACCTTTCTCAGTCTGACACTATGCAAACTTCTCAGCAGCTGGTCCTCAATTCCTTGGAGTTCACCATAAGAACAAGGACTCAAGTTGTGTCCCAGCAGCTTCCTAAAATCATTCAAAAATGAAGCAAAAACTGTAGGCAATGTGTAGCTATCGAAAAGATGTTAAAGAGCATTCAAGAAATAAAGCAACTCAGGTGGCAGCAGCTATAAACCCACTACTATACCAACTAACATGCGAACACATACAAACACGGATAAAATTAGTTGAATACAATGAACTAGAAGTAGGATAATTCAGCTAGCATCTAAAACAAGGAGTGACCTTCTAGAAAGTTCAAGATGCTCAATCTTCTCTGCCATGCTTGCGGAATCAAACTTCAGTTGCTGCATGGAAAAGACAAGCTAGTAATATATATGCCTTATTACTATGAAAAAAATAAAGATGTCAATATCATTAGAAAATTGTCCAGTATATATTTAGTCTATGAAGTTTGCGGTATTAAATATTTATCAGTAGTTGAACATTCAAATTATACAGGCTCTCAATCATATTATAAAATTTGAGTCTAACTTCCAACGTCTGAAACAAATATCGCTTGAAACATTATCAACACACGGGACAAAAATACACACTCACATACATACATACATACCAACTCATGACTGTGGCTTGTCACTACACTAACAAGGGCTATAAACCACAAGCCATTCGCTGTACTAAGGTTACAAACGCAGAATTGTCCCGCAAATGTGAAATAATGTAGTGGTTCCCTTTATATTATAAGTAATAATCGTATTTTAATTTCTTTTAGGAAAATATAAATTAATATTTCCTTAAAATAAACAAACTTAAATACATGCACACTTACAATATATATGCAACCATACCCTTTCCAATATATACAGCTGGTATAAGCAACACATCTAACATCTTTAATCATAGACCACCTCATATATTCCACCAGATGCACAATACGTGTAAGTGTAAATAATGGGATATTTTTCATTCTACTGGTAAAACCATTAATTCTGCCAGAAATTTAACGGACATTGCCAATTAGAAAGTAAAACAAAACTTACAAAGATAATTAACAGAAGCTTAAAGACATTAGGATACATTTAGCATATGCCATTTGGTTATTAGAGTTATTTAAAAGATGATCTGTCATTTGTTTAATTAGTTAACATCTTGTTGTGTGAACGGGTATAGATTAGCTTCTTCCATACACCTTGATGCATCCTATTATATTAATTAGTGCTGCTGCATTATTCCAAAACACCTTTTATTCAATCTAATAAAGTAACTCTTCATTTCTACAGAACCCCTCTTATTTACATTGAACTTTGTGACCACACTAATTAAGTTATTGTTATATTCATCTATCATCAAAGTTAAGATAATTAATAACTGAATTAAACTTCAAATATAAGTCTAAAATTTGTAAGGCTTTTTCTCGTACTTTATTTTATACAATTTTTCTAAAAGATTCTGGAAATAAATGCTCTCCATCTAAATTTTTTTATGTGTGTTTACTATTTTATGTCAATACTTGTTAGTTTAATCTTATCAAGGATACCTTTTAAAATAAGAAACGGGGAGAAATATCGTAGAAACGGAGAAGCTGGTTTACTAATGAAGGGTAAGTCAAGTTTAGGATCACGATTAGTACAAACAAGCCATTAGAGTTATACAAATGTTAGTAATTCCTTTTAGAATTATCATGTCTTCTAAATTTGTAAGATGAGAGACAAACCTGGATATATTCGTCTCTTAACTTATTGGTGTGAACATCTTTGCTATATTTCCGGTGTCGTTCCAAAATCTTTGTCATGCTGAAGTATTTAAAACAAAAAAAGAAGTTAAATTATACTAAAGAACCATGCTTAAGATTTCTGTAAAACCAGCCAGATATTTAATTAAGGATGTATTTAGTTACTTTTTTGCATTTATTTTCAATTGATAAAGTTTTTCTAATAATTGTAAAAACATCTCATTATTTCTAACATTAATTTTTCAAAAAATAAAACACAAAGCAAGGGGTAAAATCTAAGTGACATTTTATAATTATTAGTCAAAACATATAAACGGAAATTAAAAACAAAACAAACACACCGAAAGAGATACACATATATATCTCTACCACATCATGTGATCTGCTCAGTTCTGTACATAGCATTTGGATGAACGTTATTCAATATGAACGCATGCATCCATTCAAATGTAACAAAAAAAAAACCAGAAATGAAACACACACTATATATTATTACGAATTTGTCTTTTAAGTCATCTAGCACAAAGGGTTGACAAATTTTCACATTATTAAGCTTGAATAAGATAACGAGATGTCATTGCTATTGTCTGGTCCACAAATGAAAGATGTTGAAATAGTACGTAATTGTTAAACCTAGTATTCTAAAGTTTTCTGCTGCATTCCGTAGCATCTACCGTTGTTTGTTCTCAGCATCTTCCCATAATCGCACGTGTAAAATCTAATTGATCAATGCTGACGGCCTACACTGCACCATGTTATTGAACTTACAAACATAACCTACATATTATCTCTCATCAAATAAATAAATTATCCTATAGCTTATTATCCGACCATAATTTATTCAGCACACATCTTATGTATTATTGTTCCTAGTCCTAAAACCAAATTGTTTGAAATTTTTAAGAAATGGGGTGATTAAGAAATGTGTACGAAATGCACGACATAGAACTGTTCACAAATACTAGGTAGAATCCCTCCTTCCAAGATATTTAAGACAAATACTAAGTTAGCACTGCTTAGTGGAAAACCGCATACATAAACACATGCCTGCACTACACTTGAAAATGTCCACATCTTGTTCCGCAAAAGCCAAAAACTTCCACGTCTCACGGTTCGGAAAAAGTGGAAAATGGAATGACATTTAAGTAGACGGAGGGGAGGGCCTGAATTTAGAATGAAATCTCTGTAACATTTAAGTGCGTTGGGTCGTTGAGATGGGACAGAAAAAAAAAAAAAAAGATATGATCACAAGAAGATAAAAGTATAATAATTCTTATTTTATTTAATGTTTAATATATATTAAGATAATAAATTATATATTATACTATATTAAAGTATAAAAATTTATATTAGAGAAATAGATAGAAAATGTCATAAAATAGATTTCTTACGTATTATTATTTAATTAAATACTAAAAATAAGATAAAAAGTTATTTTATAAGATTTATTTATTTATTCACCAAACGAGCATTTTAAATTATTTTTGTAATAAGACCATTTAAAGTGATTTTAGTACAAGAGATCATGACAATAAATCGTCCTACAAGATATTGCAAATCAAACTCTGCATAGGCTCTAGTCATCTATATTAACTGTTTAAGGGATAGACTGGCCGGATATGGCTCCGATATTGCAGACTTCAAATCCAACTAGGCACACGGGTGTTCCGGAAGAAGAACATTACCAAAATAGACTTGCCTTCCCTTGAGAATAATTAAATGATCTTATATCAGAATTCAAAAGGGTACCAAGCTTAACCACGGGGCTTCCAATGTAGAATTGAAAATCGATAGAGAAAAAAAACTTTATATATATATATATCATTTTGTCCAACAATAAAATTATGTATTTATAGGATGAAATTTGTCCTTCAAAAATTGAAAGGCTTAAATTCTATTAATAACTATAAACTACAATCAAAATCCATTATAGTTATTAATAAATAAAAAAATAATTACTGACTCTTAACTTTTTATTTAAAAAAAACTGTTGAATTAAAACTTAAAGATGACATTTAAATTTATTCAACATCCAATTCATTCAGCCAAAGGAGTTCAACACTGAATTGAATAGTCTTTACAAAGCAAGAAAATCTATTGAACATTTCAGGATTGCCCTCTCAGTAGTCAGTACCAAGTCACACACAATGGAAGTAAATCCCACAAATGAAGCCCCACAAACTCTCTTGTACTTTTTCTGCAGATTTCACCAAACCTCAAAACGTAAGGTAGAGAAACAAATTAACAAAGACTACCCAAGGAATCAGGCAGAAATTAACGATCTCGATCCTACAATTGCCCTCCAGCAAACCAAGCATCCACACCCTTTTTTCTTTCATATCAGTATCACAGGTATATATGTCTGAGCAATCATAACAAAATATCTATTGGACTATTTCTTTTTTAAAAGCAAAAACAAATTTGATTGAGACTAGAACAAGCAAACAACCTCTCAACTAGAGACTCACATCTCTCTAGTTTACGCAAGAACAACAGAACTGTCCAATTTTATTTTCGCCAGCGTAAACTCGAGAGGATTCGGGGTCACTCCCCTTGATGCTAAGATAGAAAAACATATATATGAAAAAGAGAAAAATTACGGTCTTGGATTATTGGACTATTCAGACTTGAGAACATATCTGATAAGAGTATTTCTTAACCGGAAAGAATAAGTATAGTGAAGGAGAACGTACTCGGAACTTGAGAACTCAAAGAGCCGTCCTCTCTGTGAGAAGATTATCACAGCTACTTGAGCATCACAAAGAACTGATAGCTCGTAAGCTTTCTTTAGAAGACCATTTCGACGCTTTGAAAATGTCACTTGACGACTTGTAGCATTCTCAATTTTCTTCATTTGAATCTTTCCCCTCACCATCTCCTATATATACATACAGTCAAGAGCACGTAATCCAAAAAAAATAAAGGTTAAAATTTAAGCCAAGCCTTTGATGGAACAAACTAAACTATGAAGCTAGCACTGTTAAATGAGATAGTACAAAAATTAGAAAGGGTAAGGGACAAAATATCACCACAGATTAGAAAGAAACGCCTTCCCTTTAGTTTGTACTCTTTTTTCTAAAGCTGCAAAACGGGTAAAACCCACAATCTAGGTCAGAATAACAAACAATATGCTGTAAGAACTTAATTGATCCACGAGGTCCAAATGGATCTTACAGAGAAATAATTGGTTTAGCTTATTTTAGAGAACATGCAGCAAATTAAATGTGATAGAAAATATTGACCACCAAGACTGGTTGAAATTAAAGCATTCCAATCCGGTGTGAGCAAAGAAAGGAGAGTTCATGGTGCTTCAGCATAGGTCAAGGAAAAGGAAAACTCACCAAATTTCAGGTTAAAATCGAAGAGAAGAAAAGCTATCTGTAGGTAGTGGTAGAAAGAACAGGCAAATATTCTGGAAACCCTAGCTAGAAGGTACCCCACTTTCAGCAAAGTAGCATATGTTCTATCTTTTTCTCAAACCACAGACGATTGTATTATTCCATTCATTTTTGTCATCCTCCCTAGGTTCGATCCCCCAATAGTTAAAAGCGATCATAAAAAAATGAAAAACACTTTCGTTTTAAATATGCTTCTTTATCACCCAATTGTCTGCCTTGTTTTGGCAAAGTTGAGAAACAACCATTTAAAGCAAAATATTTGTTTTAACAAAATCTCTCCTTTCTATTTGAATGAATAAAACAATTAGCAACCGCGATTGCCTGGAATAAACATCATTTCTGAAGAATAATTTTTTATTTAAATTTTAGCTATCCCTTACAAAAGGTACTCTCTTATTCAATTGAACTGGATAAAGCTATTACAAATAGTGATTTTTTAAAGTATTTAATACAATTATATATTTACAATTATTGATTAAAACAACAAAGAATAATAACTTAAATAATATATTATAAAAATGCTTTGTGATAATAAAAATATTAAACACCATTGTTATTTGTCTAAATAAAATTATATTTTAATATAATCATTATAAAATTATACTAAGAGTACGATATATTATGTATTAGATAACAGTTTATGCTGAAAATTAATGTGTCAGCTGTGACCACAAAAGTTTGCAGGTCTTCAAATTTTATCGTGTGACATCATGTGCTGTCAAAATAACTTGTGGACATAACGATTAACTGACTATTTGAGAATCAACAAAAAACAAAGATCGTGTAAAAAAGAAGCAACTAAATGTAAACTAATTCGGAATAAAGTTTACCAAAATACTTTGACTAAGTAACGATAAAAAAATATTAATTTTAATCTTTGAAGCTAAGCTTAAATAATCAATGGTAATGAGATTTTATTAAAAAATATTAACTATATCTTTATAATTTTAATATAATAAATATATTTTTTTAGTAAAATTTTACTATTTTAAATATTTAAGCTCAACTTCATAGATTGAAGTTAACAAAAGTTAAAATATTAAACTAATAGAGGTAAAGAACGGAGTTTATATAGAAACTAAACCAATAAGCAATCAAATTAAGCAAATAAAATTCTTTTGCGTCCATAAAAAAGTTAGACACATAAAAAAAACACAAAATTTAGAAATATAACACAAAGATTGAATTAAACGGCATGATAAGCAATCAAAATAAAACGAAAAAGATATATAAACGAATAACAAGATTGGTATCAATAATAAAGCAGATGCAAGTCAGCAAGCAGCAAGCTGAAGACTTTAAATTATCCTAAACAAAAAATAAAATAAAATTATAGACTTAAAAAAAACTACCAAAGATAGAAGGAATTTTACGATATTTGAAAATGTTGTATGTTAAAATATGGAATTTTGAGAAAAACTATAAAAATATAGTAACTCAAAAATTACTAGTAATAATTTTTATATGAATTAAATTAATTTCATAAAAGTAACTAATTTTATTAAGAAAACGTCAATAAGGATTTTTGAGTTTTCGTATCGATAATTCTTCCAAAAACTCCAGGATATACTATTTTGATAATTGCCAGTGGCCTCTAATAATCAACAATTGTCCTCAACATTAATTCTTCTTTGGACCTTTTGAATCACCAAATATTGAAAAAACCTTTTGAATCGTATCAACACTCTTATTGATAAAAGTCCTCATTAAGTAATGTCATTGCTCTATTTCTTCAAAAAACCCCATGTTGAGATGTTCCGTTGAGGTCGGCTATAAGTTTTTTAAAGGTTATTTTATTAATTTTTTTGGAATGCATTTTAAATTATTGTTTAGTTAAATATTTATTTAATACATTTTTTACACCAAAACCTATTATATGAATTTAACAACAAACTTATTAAAATAAAATAAAAACTATTTAGTTTAATAATTTATACTGAAAAACTTATAAAATTAAGTTGAAAATCATCTATAAAATATATAAGCTGTGTTCATAAGCCCTCCGTAAACTGTCGTGATATGATTTCTCATTTGATAAATTTTATAATTAAATTTATGGCATAAATGCTTCTATATAAAATAGTTTATTGAATAAATATTTATTAAATATGTGTAAAGAAATGCACTCTAAAACTATCGAATAGACTGAACTCATTTGATAGAATTTGTAACAACCAATACTAAATTACTTCGTTAATCCTTTATATATCCAACCAATTAATTATACAGACAGTGTATCCAACCAAAGCATATATCATTTTTCATGTAAACAAAATTATCTGTTAATATAAGTATGTGCAATATTTTTTTTATGCAAACTTATACGATTTATATTAACAATTTGATTTTTGTTAAGAAAAACAGCTAACTAACGGAGACAAATTCAATATCTAGTTGTTAGTATATGACAATTTTTATATTGATATTTATTTATATCTTTTTTCTATTTTAATGATAAATAATTACAAATAATTAAGGCAGGTCTTAGTATATATATATTCCTTCATTTCTTTGCTGTTTGTTTAATTCATCTTTACTCTTTACATTCTGTTTAAAATATCAATTTTAGCAGATAGAGAAAAAGAAAAGAAAGGGTGCAAATAAGAAGAAGAAAAAGAAGAATAAGAGATCAACTTTAAAGAAAAAAAAAAAAAAAAGCTCTACTTAATTATTTTGAAACATCTTAATCATGTACAATTTATTGAAGGGCTTATTCGAATATTTTGCGTTTAATGCAACAATGACACATAATAAAATTTCATAAATATTATTTTTTATAAAATATTAAAATATCATATATTTAATATATAATTTTAATAAAAATAACATTATCTTTTAATTTTTTAACATATTTTCTTAAATATATATTAAAAATAATTTATATAAACCAAATTATTAACTATTACACATTGATCTATTATATAATATTTTTTTCTTATTTTTCATTTATATTTCTCGAAGGAAGGGATCTTAGAGAGTCATTTTTCTCTTAAATTTTTGGAAAAAAAAAAAAAACAACACACGAGCCATTAAAATAGAGTATATTAACATCTTAAAATTAATAAAGCAACACGACATAAAAACATTAAAAAAATGTTCACAAAAATTATTTATTACTCATTTTAAATTTGAGCGCATAATATGACTTTTTAGCCATATTATAGTAATTAAAAAAATTAATAAAACAGGGTTTCAACGAAACAGATTTCTAGTCTAAAATAGGGAATGTCAGGTGGCACTAGAATCATCCAAAAGCCTGACAATACTAAATATAAAATAAAATAAATAAATAATTCAAAATCAATCAACGACTGAGAAAAAAAAAGATACATGTTAAAATCTTAAAGAGTCCAAATTCAGACGAAACTCAAGCTGCGGAGGTACACAACTTTATTTGTTTTTAAAGATTAATTATATTAATTTATGTATTTGTAACAAATAAATTTTAGATAAAATTTATTAGAAATTATATAGTATAATTTGTATTGTTTATAATTATTTTGTTTAAAAATGTATTAAATTAAAGTTATAGTAATTAAATGATATTTATTAATTATTAAATAATAAAATAATTTATTATTGTAATAAATTGATAAATTAAGAGGAAATAAAATTATATATAAATTTATGCTTCAGAAAAAAAAACATGGTAATAAAAATATATATGGAATGCAATGAAAATAATAAATAATTAATATAGGAAAAATAATAAATTTTATATTTTTATGGTAGATTAAGATATAAAAAAATATTTGTGAAAAAAATATTAGATGTAGTAAAAATAACATTTAGTTTTTGAAAAAGAGTAAATAGAATTTTTTATTAAAATTATTGTTAAAAAATAACATATACAATTATATTATAGAATAGATAAAATATAAACAAATATAATAATAATAAACAGATTTAAAGTATTATATTCATAACAAATTTAATTATAAAATATAATAATTCTGTCCTTCAAATTTATCTAAAACATTAGATATTGAAAATAAACTTTATAATTTAAGAAACAAGAATATTATTGAATAAGAATAATAAAATTAAAAAATTTATTGTTTAATATTAAGAATTATATAAATAAATTCAGGGTGATAAAACTATGTATTTATTTAAAATAGTTGTTAATTATAATGTAATTGTAAAATTTGAAAAAAAAAACAATATAAAAAAAAGTCTTTGTTAATGAATTGAAATTTTTGTTAAATTAGTATGATATATAATAGTTATTTTAGTGTATGAAAGTATGTTTTGTTTTAAATTTAGATTAATTAAATTTTTTGCTATATTTTATAATATTAAATTTTTGTTTTAAATTTAGATTAATTAAATTTCTTAACAAATAAAAAATTTATTTTGTATTAAAGTTAAAAAAAATTAGGTTAATTTAGATATTTGAAATTGTTCTAGTTAAATAATTGTAATAAAAATTAGGTAATAATGAATAATAAAATAATAATATTCAATAAAATTTTTCATTTATTAATTTTAATGTATATAATTTTAGTTTAATTTGACAAATTTTATTTCAAGTGGTATCATCTTAATTGCAGAGTAGGTTAAATTCTGATTCAAATGATAGTTCATTATTGGAGTATTAGTCTATTCACGTATTTAAACATGTTTGGGATAGACGTAACAGCCCAATTTTAAAAGGTGAGGAAAAGTCACTTTATACCGACTGGCATAGAGAGGTTCTAATGGAAATACTTTCTCATTTTACTTTAGCTGTATTTGCCGAAGTGACTCAATCTGTATGCTTTTCTATTGACCAATATTTTATTACAATTTTAGTGGAAATATGGAGGCTAGAGACTCGTACCTTTCACATGCTTCCTGAAAAGTATACTTTAACTCTTTAAGACATTGTTATTCAGATAGAATTTTCTATAGATGGAAAGGCAATTATTACAGCTACAAGAGGTAATTGGGCACAAACTGTGGAGGACTTGCTTAGTATTAGACAATCTGATGCATTTATGGGGAGTAATTTGAAGTTGAGTTGATTGGACTAACATTTTACACAATTTTTTTCTCCTTGTCAAAATTTATATCCTCATTTCTTTCATATATTTTACCATTTGAATATAATATAACAACAATTTAATTCATCTTGCATTCAAAATAATTGTCATCATAATAATTAATTTATCATATAATAAATTTATATTTAAAAATTAATTTGTATTTACAAATATTTAAATAATTAATTTTTAACATTATATTTTATATTTATTATTTTCAAATATAACAAAAAAATTAACATCATAATAATTAATTTATAATATAATGAATTTATATTTAAAAATTAATTTGCAATTACACATATTTAAATAATTAATTTTTTAACATTATATTTTATATTTATTATTTTCAAACAATAAAAAAAATTATTTACAATATTAACATTTAAAATATTATTTAAAATGAAAATTTCTTAATACCCAATGAAAACAAAATATATATATATTCATAATACTTAAATCTAGTCGGAATGAAAAATTTCTCTTCAAGCTTTACGATTATTGTTTCTTTTTTAGCTGCACGATTATTGTGATAAATTTATGTATTTATAGATCTTTAATTTTAAACATAAAGATGTATCAAAATTTTTATCCAACAATAATACAAAATTTAGTCTCGATTAAACGATGTTAGAATCGTCCTTGACATGGACGCTAGAAAAATTAACTCTAATATGGACGCTAAAAAAATCGTCCTAAATATAAATGATAATAACTTTTAATACAATACAATACATGTCAATATCTCATTAATATTAGTTAATAATGAGATGATACTCTCATAGTTTGTCACGTTATTACATGTATTAATTTTTTTTTTGGAATAATTTTAGTGTTACGTAGATTGGTCATCTCACAAAAAAAATTTATTTTAAAAACCTATTTTTTAAAAAATTACCTCAATAAGGTAAAAAAAAAAAAAAAAAAAGCCGGATAATCTCCGTAGATCTTAGTTTGAAGAAAAAATCCCCAACTTGGAAATTTGATTCTTCTGATTTACTTGGGATAAAAAGTTGTAGGTGGAGATATGATGCTGTTACTTTTTGGAGGGGTGAAAGGAAAGCAAAGGTCGCTTTCATATTCTTTTGGGTTTTCCTTTCTTGGAATTGACCATTTGTCAGCACTTCTCTTTTAGGTGCCATTTTTATCAGCACTTCTCTGTTTCCCACCTTTTTTTACCTCTTTACTGTGTTTCTGTGTACGCCACGCGCCGTTGATTCTTCCCCGCTTACCACACAAGTCTTATCAAAAAAGCAATTAGTACCTCACCGACACAACTTTTATCCCTGTTGTGAAGACTAACATGTACTTCATCCTTTTTTTTTAATGTTTTATTTTTTGTATAAGAATTAAAAAAAAGTATTTTAAGCTTTATAAAAAATTATTATTTATTAAAAATAGTAATAGTTCATTTATTTCATTAAATAATAAAAAATTAATAAGGTATAAAAGTAAAACAAAATAAAATTACTTCACCTATGATAAATTAAAAATAAGTTTATTTTTAAAGACAGAGTATAAATATAACAGTAAAATGATTTAAAAATGAGGGTTATTTTTCTATATACATATATATATATATATATATATATTTATGTGTAAAAAATATATATTTTTTTAAATCATTCGAAGTGTAATTCCTCAACTTAGTAAATTTCATGTGAACTTCAACTTTTATAAGGTGTGGAGTAAAATTTTTCAAGATAGTAAATTCAAATTTTTTTTAATGTTGTAATAGATATGATATTTTGGTTTTTTCCTCTTTACCAAAAAACAAAATAAATTTAATTGATTAATTTTAATTGTGATTTTTAGTAACAGAGAGGTTAAAATCGTTTAATGGGTTTCAATCTGTAGAGATATTGAGAAAAGGATAAAAAATTTAAGATTTTTAATAAATTCTTTTGATAAAGATCGAAACCTAGTTTTAGTCATCTTTAAAATTAAAAAAAAAAAAACTATTAAAGAGTTAAAATCGTACACTGTCGAATTGTTATCTTTTGCTCCTCGAAAACATGTATCACAGGTTATGAGCGTAAAATTGTAAGTTATGCAGGAATTCTCAATAATTTAATTTTTAAAATGTTTTAACACGTGTTACATTCTCTAGATTTTGAGTATTATAAAATGGTAACAAATTATAAGTTTTATATTTAAAGAACATGCTTAAATCCATTCAAGGAAAAAACTTTTTTATCTCTTTCTTTTTCTTTTCTCTCTATTTTTGGTTCAGGTATTCAACAGGCACACCAGCCCAAATCAGGCCCAACCAACAATACAACAATGATGAAACAGAAAAAACCTAAACCTTTTTGGTCAGAGTGAATGGGCTCACAAAGCTAGTAAGAAAACAGAAATTGGGCCACATGCACTAACACAAACAAAACAGAGTGAGAGAGTAAAAACACTGGCGACGATGTAATATGACACAGGGGGCAACGAGGAAGAGAAAAATGGGAGACACAAAAGAGACAGCTCCTAAGAAACCTGTGGCAACATGGCCTTCCATCAAACCGAAAAAAAATCTTCAGACTACCCGCTTTCGAGATTTCGATCTCTTCACGGTTACCTTTCCATCTTTTTCTTTTTCCTTTTTTAAATTGTCTTCCTTTATACTGGGATTATCGGTTGATTGGATTTCAATGAAACAATGGTGGGATGTGAAATGTGGTTCATCCAATTCAGTTTTGAACAGATGCCCGCTTTCTTTTTTCATCGAAAGTTTACTATTTTAACTTTTTTATGTTTGATGTATGACTTCTATTCTATCAAGTTGATCTCGTAATGGTTGTTATAAAAGTTAATAAATGCCTAGTTCCCCCTTTATTTTTTTCTTCTAGCTCATACTTTAGGAAATACTCTTACTTAATTCGTTTAAATGCGGCTTTCAAATGGAAGCAAAATGCTAATTGATGCCTTTTATAAACCGGTGGTTTTCACCGTACATTCAGATTTTTATGATTTCTTCAAATTCACTTGAAATTTAATGTTCCAAAACAAATTAGACAGTGTAACAATATGATTCTGCAAATTACCCTCTAAATATTTCTTATTTTAATAAATTTTTGGTTTAGGTTCCGGGTTTTTTCTCTTCTGCTGAATCGAAGGCATTCATTAAAGCTGCCGAGGCAATTGGTTTTGCTCATCAAGGGAGTCTGGGTCCAGCTAAAGGTGAAGCTTACAGGGATAATGATCGAATCTCAGTGAATGATTCTGTCCTTGCAGATACAATTTGGGAGTCTGGGCTTGACAAACTATTTTCTGATATAAAAATTCGAGGAAAGGTTGCTGTAGGTCTGAATCCAAATATTAGACTCTATAGGTTGGTTTGTTTTCTGACGCAAAAGTTTATTGTGGGGAAGTTAGTATAAGTTTTAAGATTGCTAAAGCTTTTCTTGGGATTTTCATTTACGCTCATTTTTCAATGGGAAACAATTCCGATCTCTTTGAATTTGATTCTGAGAAAAATGTAGGTACTTTAATTGCATTACCTTCACTAATTATCAGGCACTTCTGCATTTCAGGTACAAAGTTGGTCAACGTTTTGGAAGGCATATTGATGAAAGTGTTAATCTTGGAGATGGAAAACGCACTTATTACACTTTGCTAGTGTATTTAAGTGGTGGGCCTGGTGAACTTAAGTCAAAGCCCAAAACTTATTCCAGCAAACCCTCAGATTCATCTTTTGACCCTTTAGTTGGAGGAGAAACAGTCTTTTATGGTCCAAGAAATAGCACTGTGGCTGAGGTAAACTACTGGTTTCTTTTAGTGAAACATTTGTTATATTTCCTTTTACACTCAAAATGAGTTTGAATTTTCACTTGATGCAAATTTGGGAATATGACTATATGATTTTGATGCTGATGCAATATTGCATTCACAGGTGGCGCCAACTGAAGGGACCGCACTCCTGCACCTTCATGGAGATAAATGCTTGTTGCATGAAGCCAGAAATGTTACCAAAGGTGTCAAGTATGTGCTTCGTTCAGATGTAGTATTTGCTTGAAGAATGATTCATGTCTTCTACCAAACAACCTGGTATATCCATCTCCTGAAGGCTTCCTCTCTTTTAGCTATCACTTGGAAAACATTTGTATTATCTATTTATCTTGACTTTCAGTGTTGATAATATGTTCTGTATGAAAATCTAGGCAAAAGATAATCCCGTTTTAAAAGTAAACAAAATAGGGAAGTCATTTTGAAAAACACATGTAATAGGGAAAATCGGGTTGATTAAACTGGCAGCCTGCTCAGAACATTATGAGTATCTGTATCTTTTCCCCAAAATTAAGAAATTATTTTTGGACACTTGGAGTTAAATTTCATAGGAAGGTGTTGCTTTATGTTCCTCCATCGAAGAATTATGATGATATATTTTTAGCGATCTTTGTGGCTTCTGTTCATCCATCCAATCCCTGACTTGTTGGTCTTCAAAGGGCCTTGATGAAATTTTCCTGAGTCTGTACATTGTAGGTCTTAAGCATTCATAGAATGAAAAAGGCTTGGAGTCCATCAACTTGGAATGGAAGGCTCAGTCACTAGTCTTATTAAGCACGAAAAAAAGTGTTATAAATTGGGTGTCAATGTAATTATTAAAAGACAATATCAGACAAACTTGTGCTTGTGTGCACAAATCAATATTTTTCTTTTGCCAACCATAATACGAAGCATACAAGCACAATCAATTTATTTCAACACGAATAATGACAATATCTTTATGATAATATTGTAAAATCTAATTAACAAAAGTAGTGGCAAAGAAGAAGAAAAGAATCAGGGCAAATAAGTCTCTATTCTCTGTCTCTCAATTGGCAATCCTGCAATTAAGTCTCACTTCTCCATTTTCAGAGCCTCTTACATTTCCAAGTTTCAACATGGAAGCCGTGAACTCTTTGAAGAACAGACTCTGGTCCTTTGCAAATGCTTCAACAATCCATCTAGTTCTGTAATCACCAACAAGTGATTGATCCGAAGAAAACACACCTTTTCCAGCCAACAGTTGTTTGTAATAGTCATTGTCAAACACTGATGCTGTTGAATCTAGGAACTGTCCTGCATTGCGGTTGTAGTTTGGCTTTGGACATTTCTTTCTTAGGTCTAATGCAAACTCAGTGTTCATTCTCGGATCAATGTCATGCAACAAACTATAATTATGAAGACGAGCCTCAAAGGAAGAGCAATGTGAGAAGCCCAGAGTGTGACCTCCAGATAAAGTTACCATATCTTTGACTGTCAAACCTCTCTTAGCAAAGCTCTGAATGAGTTGGCTCACATTGGAGGTTGGAGCGGGTAAGTTGATGGTATCAGATGCCTTTGATAATCTTCCATCTCTTCTTCCTTTAAGTACATTCCAATATGGACCTCCAGACTGTCAAAGTAAATAGGATTCTCAAGATTTTTAGATCATAGGGTATATAGAATTTTTAAATACTTCATCTAAAATGTTTGTAGGCATTATCCAAACCTATTTATTAATATTATGTGACTTGGATTCTTTTAATGGAACATTTTATGAGATCACAAAATATTTCTCTTCTAAAATGTACCTAGAGTTTAGCAGGTCTAAACTAGCTTGGAGACTTAGATATTACCATGGCTACGACATCTCTAGCTGAAATGGCAATTATATCCGCACAAGAAACAGTGCGTGGGCAAGCCAACTCAAGCTTTTGCTTGGCTTCATCAATCACGTAGAACGATCGAACTGAGATATTAGGAGGGCCATCTTTCTCTGCTTGGTTAGTGGCTGTTGAGTCCAGCAATATTGATGCATCACATCCCTATCATTGAACATTAAATCAATCATTTAAGAAGATTACACTCATTGGCCATTTTAATCATTCACCAGCATGAAATGTGTGTGTGTTTTGAGTGAGAGAACACACCCTTATGAAACAGTCGTGGAAAAACATCCTCAAGATACGTGGTGGGACTTTTGGGTCATGCTTAGAAGCATTGAGAACAGTCTCTGAAATAATTTTTTCCAGTTGTGGACATGTTTGGTCGTAGTAATGAGCATTAAGTTCAGCTTTGGATTCTGAAAATATTGTGAAGAGGAGGAAAATGATTGGAAAGATGTTTTTTGCTGCCAGAGGGGCCATCTGATAAATCAAAATTATTCTTCTTTAAAGATGAGGATTCGATGAGAAGTTCATGAAGTTGTATTGGTATATATAGATTATAGAATAGAAGTAAACGATTTTAGCAAACATGCTTAAATCACAAACACTGTACTTTGAAGCGAGTAAAAGTTGGAATATTAACTTGAAGTACAGATTTTGACTTCCCTTCTGTTCTGCTTTAAGGCCTACTTTATCAAACCACCTGGACACATCTTCAGTAACCAACAAAAGTACTAAACCATCTTGATGGCAACTATGTCAAGGTCTAGATTAATAATTGTGCATATTCTATCGTGCATATTATCGATTGTTGATTAGGCGTAAAGGGGATGTTTAAGGTTATATTTCCATATAATTAAAAGAATAAGATTTTCCCCATTAAGGTGTACCACACAAAAGTACATCATTGTTAGGTAACATGTTACTTCATAAGTTGTTCTGTTGGTATATACCTCTCAGGTTAGTTTAGTTAAGCTGTAAAGTTGATGAGAGGAGGGCAAGATTCTGCACTAACAAATTGCCAGCATTGTGCGGGAAGGTTACTTTTATCTATTGCTTGAATAGTTAGAAAGGAATCAGAGCTAAATGAAAGAAATATTGTTCAAATATATGCATTAGAGAAAATTCCCCTTAAATGATGAAAATTGCATACATGTAAGACTACCTAAAATGAGTGGGAATAATGTTATCTTTCGATTAAAAGAATATTAAGTCAAAAATCATTTTTAACTAACACATTTTACTCGTTTTTCTTACATTTACTTTTTATTTTTATATTCTTTCTTTTTTTTCTGATCATATATTATCAATTAAGTGTCACTATATTCTTTTCATACTCTTTCTTCTCTCTTCATCTTTTTTCATATATTGGATGTAACCATGTAATTATTCTTTATCTATACACTCATAATAACTTAGGCATTGTACGGATTACCTTCGACATTTGGACTAAAAAACAATTGACGTGGTGAGCCAACACGTGGCTTCTTTAGTCAATCAAAATACACGTGGAAGTAAAGCAACTTCAATTTTGAAAGTTGTTTGTGATTTCTAGTCACTTGCATCGTTGAGACTTAAGGCTACAGGAAAATGTTATTAAACTGTTCTATATATTTGTTACAGCTAAAAACAACTATTGTGAAAGATTGCACAAGGTTTACATAGAGTAAAGGATGACTAAAATAGTTGTAAATAGTATTATATCTTAGACCAGTAAAAAGTAAGAATAATTTTGTCAATGATTGTTGTTTATTAGTGAATAGTTAATTGTTTTTAAGTGAGTATTCTAACTATGGGCATGACTCTTTTACAGTGAGTAAATATGGAAAGTAACAAGGTAAAAATATATCTACTTTTATTTAAATTAAACTATCTCGCACGTGTAAAAATACTAAAATATCTCTTAAATTTGACTTACTTTAAATTAAAGTGAAAGGTGAATGCTTCTTTACTTTCACATTTTATACTGCCAATTCCTTGGAAAAGTCAAATCTAAGTATATATCTATGAATGAAAATAAAATTGTGAATTCTTATATTTTTATTCAAGTAATCAATTTTTTTCTTTAGGTGATTATTAATCACTTTTAAAAAAATCCATTAAAATGAAATAAAACGATCCATCAATTTAAATAAACCTTACATAATCCTTTTAATAATTTAAATATTTTTTAAGTGATTATTTATTTTAATTGAGTGGCTAATAGTTATAAATGACATTCGATTTCAGATCATGAAATTATGAATACTTGTGAATAATATTGGTGGTTGATGAATCATAATTTATTTTCTATTCGCAGTCTTACTATATAGTTGTAAATAAAAGCATATATGAAGTTAAAAGCAAAGATTATAACAACTATATACTCAGTGAGTACAAGATGCATTCTCGTTCCCATTAAAAAGAAACTTATGAATGATTATTGTATTTTCTATTTAGTGATCATTTATTTACATTCAATGATAAAAAGTTGTAAATAAAAATTTATAGTCTATCTATCTAAACAAAATTTATACGATCCTTTTCAACAATTTAAATATTTTATGACTTTTCTCCTTAAATTATGTCTTCTAGTTTGATTCACATCCCTCCCCACGAAATACTATTTACAAAGGATCAAAAGCCAGCACCAACCAAATAAGTCAGTTCTTTATTTGATCCTATGAAGGTTAATTTTTTTAACCAAATACTACTAGTTCTTCAGTTAGCATCGTTTAAACTGCAAAATACATTGATTTTGCACTATGATTTCCTAACATTTTTAGGATCTATTGTTTTTAATGATATCGTGTGGCACGTGCTCCATCATTTTGGACCTTGCTTTTCAAATTTAGGTTATAATATATAAAATTAGAAATTTGATATTACTACTATTTTTGTTTACAAATTAAAAGGTACTTTTCGAAATTGAAATTGAAGTGAGGGAGTATGGGGGAGGTAAGCATGGGTGCACGTGTGGACCAGGAAAGTAGTGGGCCCACAATGGACACGTGTAAGGGGGCCAGGCTGGTTCCACCGAGGAGAGGGCCCCACAAAATCATAGGGACACGTGCCTGAAGCTAGCAATCACATGACCAAATCTGGTGGCCCAAATTCAACCAGTCACCACGCTCCACGGACCACCTCACTTTCCCCACCCACATTTTGGGCCCCGCCATTTAACACGTGCACAAACACCTAAACAACCTCACGTGACCGTTTCCAGACCCCACCCTCGTTGACGCACCCTATCAGAGTCAGCACGTGCAAACTGGATCTCGCACGTGCCAACGCACGGGTGGTACCCCAGCTCTTTTTCACGCTCAAAAGCTCCATTTCCTTTCTTTTTTCCCTGCTACACGCCAGTGCTTCCCATTAACACCATAAAAAGATAAAATTAAAAAAATAATAATAATAAAACCGGCAGCCGAAGATAAGTTAACCTTAAAAGTTATAAAAATTGTTCCTAAATCCTGACCATTAACCATAACCAAAAACAAACAAAACCCAAACAGCAAAACCCCCCTCCACTCATCTCTAACTAAAGTTTCTAAACTACCAAATGTGGGGTCTTCAATTCGAAGGCTTGGAAGTGGGTGGAGGGTCTGAATTGGGAGAAGGACGTCCCAAAAATGGAAGCTCTTTCTTGTCATAAATTTCCAAAGAGAAATCCCTAAGCATTTGGGTGGTTGTAGCAGCGGAAGAAGTGGAAGCAGCACTAACAGTAGGAACAGTAGTAGCAGTTGTTGAGCACATAGGAGAGCAAGTGTCAGCAGAATCGGAGGCACTATTCGGTTGAATCTGCATAGCGGAAACAAAGCCCGAAATGGGTCTGGCTTGAACGTTGAAAAAAGGGGCCGCAGTTGCTGGAATGGCCCAATACTGAGGAGGGTTAGCAGAGTTAGGGAACATGAAAAAGGGGCCTCCAGCATTAGACGCAGGCCACAAAGGGACTAATCCACCGCCACTGCCACTACCACTAACACCGCCTCCATATGAAGTTTGTGCAATTGGTGCGAGTCCCGAAGACACCGAAACTTGATCATTGTTTATGTCAATGAATTCACTGTTTGATGCTCTTCTCCTTCGCTTCCTTGGGGTATCTTCTCCCTCCGGTCTCGCCGACGATGTCGTTGGAATCTTCAGTGTGCCGCCCACTGACACCGCGATCGCCGGGATGGTTCCGGTGCCGGTCGCTTCTATGATCGCCGGTTCAGCGTGCTCCAGCAACCACCGGATTGTTTCTCCGTCGGATTTGTGGCCTAGCTCACGCGTCAGTTGGAAGATCCTGGCGGCGCACGTCGCCGGCATCCGGATTCTCCGGCCGCGACCCTCCACCTTCGTGTGACGATCCTTCGACGGTTTCTTTGCCGCCGGCGTTGACATCGCCAACGGCATCGAAATAACGCTCATCGGAAGAGACGCGTCCCCGCTTTGCTCCGTGTCCGTGAGTTCTTCCTTCATTGGAGCTGCCGTATCCGGAGGCGGTGCCGCCGCTGACGGAGGCGACTCCGTCGGGTTGGCCATTGGCGTTGTTGCCTCCGAGGGAGAGATGTCGGTGCTGTGGGTGTCGTCGTCTTCGTTGAAATCGCCGTCGTGGTTAGGATTCGCTTCCATCCTGAACGAGAAAAAGAGTTAAGAACAAGAAATTCAAAAGTTCAACAAAGAACTAGAAAAATATGATCAAAACCCATGTGAGAAACACGGAAAATTTTTCAAATTTACGAACTTGAGAAGCAGGGAAACTGAAAAGTGTTTTTTTTTTTTTTTTGCTTTGGGGCTTACAGTGTGTTGTTTTGCAGGGGAAAAGAACGAGGAAGAACAGAGGAGGGGAGTTGTGATACGTTGACTGTGGTTTGAAGCTTTCTGGCACTGCGAAAGATTAGAGAGACTAATTCAGAATTGGAAGAGAGATTTTTGTGATTAAAAAAATTATGAATATAAAAAAATAAAATTAAAATTGGGGACAAGAAGAAACACAGAGAGAAACAAACCCTAACAATGGAAGAGAGCCCCACTTATCCGTATGGAAGAGAGGGACCCCCAGGCTCAGTTCTGTATTTATTTGCACAGTGAAATAGAATCAATGGCTGGATTCGCTTCTCACATCTAGTGGGCCACTGCGATTATGCCACGTATTAAAGCCTTAGCTTTGCTAGCAATTTACTGTTCCAGTTGCGGTTTTGTGCCTAATTGATTACTATTTGCCATTTTCAATGCAAAATAATGCTAAAAAAATTCCTTATGCGCTGCTGGGTAACGGGGAAAGTTATCATGGTTTTTAAATGATAGTTAATGTTCTCATTAGTTTCAATATTTTTAAGAACAATGAAAAGATTCAAGTATTCATTTATTATACAAGTATGTTTAATAAAATAAAATCTTGAAAATATAAATTAAGATATTTAAAATAATATTGATTTAATTGATATAATATTATTTTATTGCTGGTTAGTGAATTAATACCTCACAAGCTCACATTTTCACTGATGTTGATTAAAAAAAAAGAGTAATTAAAGAAAATAAACTCTTGTTTGAATAAAAATTGATCACAGAAACGAATATGGATTTGATTAAATATTAAAGCTAATAATAATAATGACAACAACACAAAACTTGTAAGAAGACCAGTATATATAAATATTATCCTCTAAATAATGAAAATTCTGATTTGGTGTATGAATATATACGTATTGGAGATTAAAAAAAAATGGAAAACGAGTAAAGATAGCTTAAGGGAACGATTAGATAACTTGAGGTTAAGTTAAGGTGGATTATTTTGCACAATATTCTCCCTATGTATGAGATAACTGGAAGAAATGACGCATTTGGGTGAAGAATCTAGTAGGAAGGGTTCAATGGGTGCTTATGAAATTAAACATCAATTGCATCTTTTTCTGTTCTCTGTATCCTCCATATCTCTTATACGTCAACATAAATAGTTGGAAACTTTATGCTGAGTGGTGGAAATTTTTTATTCAAATCGTGAGTGGAAAGGAATCCTTTCTTATCCTGTGGAGTTACCCATACTAATTAATTATTATAAAAAAATAAAATTAAGAATGAATTTGTGTTATATATATATATATATATATATATATGTGATAATGATGAAAATATAAAAAAGTAAAATACAATAAAAACTATTCTTTATAACTATTTATACAATCAAACAAAAAATATATTGTCAAACTCTGAAGAAATCTTAACCTTTATAACAATGAGCAATGCTTGGAAATAAATATTCTTTTCAATCTTTTTTATTAGACAATTTTTTATTTTTTTATAATTCAAAATATTAGATTATTTATAAAATTTTAAAAAAATTTATTATTTTCTCATCTGTTTGCTTTCATAAATAAATATTGAATATTTTAATTTTTAATAACTTATATGGTAATAGAGTTTGAATTAAAATAAAAATGAATTTAAAATGTTGTAATTATATTTTAAAAGATTAATTCATTAATTAATTTTAATATATATATATATATATATATATATATATATTATGTATGATTTAATTAAAGTTGGTGAACAAATATATATACACACCAATGTGAGGACACTTTCCTCCTACAGTTAGTGATACAGATTTATCAAGTTAGGTTATAAATTCTGATATCATAGATTAGTTTACATATTTATCATTATTTAGCTTAATATATATTTTCAGCTAAACAGAGCAAAAATAAATTTAATTATTTATCTCCTATTTAAACAGTATAAATTATATATTTTTTTTCTTTTTACTTTCTTTCCTTTTTTCCTTCGCACCCAAACCAACCAAAACGAAGCACAATGCTTTTTCAATCGCTTTCTATACACTTCAACGAAAATAACTTTTTAAAAATTAAAATAAATAAAATGTTGCTTACAATAGATATTATCTTTTTTTGTGTGAGTAAAGTAGATAGTGTCTAACAATGATTAATACGATTGAGTTTAATATTAATTAAAAACTGTAAAATAAAATTAATAAACATAACTTATTAAGAAATTTTACATCTCAAAAAATATAAAAAAATAAAATACATTTGTAAATATTTTAATAAAACATTGTAATTAATTGAAAAATTTTCATCTCAAGATTTGCTTTGAATCTCGATATCTATGGAGCTATTTGGAAAATAGAAATTTGGTGTATTTTGTTTGACGACTTAATAGAGTGGAAGGATATTATATATCTCGTGGTATATTCTTTGTCAAGTTCTCAATATGGTGGGGACTAGGAAGCAAGGATACCAATGCTCTATATAGTGGGAATGGCAGCATGAGGAAATAAAAATATAATATATATTAACAAACAATTTTGTTTAAATAAAATGTTAGTATTTACTATTAATGTATTAAACATTAATATAATATATTATGTTATTGGTGTAGAATAATATTAACAGTTTAGTTTTTGTCAGATAAATATTATATTTGTAAAATTAATTTCAATGTTTGAAATTTTTTGTTTATTATTATTAGTAAATAACACATATTTTTATAGTGCACTCAACGAATGTAAGAATTTTTCCATGTTGTCCTTTTAAGAAAAATTAGGAGCAATAAAGGCTTAGCCATGGGCTTGTTAATATAAGTTGCGTTGGAAGAATATGTTAAATTTTTTTAATATTATTAAATAAATAAGATCGTATAAAAATTAATATGAGAGCGATAAATATAAAATTTATACATAAGCGATTACGTCATGCGAGATCAATCTCTTTTTTATTTTACCAAATATTTATTTAATTTTTGTAGATATAACATTTACCATATTTACTATTGACAAAAATAGAATAGCATTTACAAAATAAATAGTCTGAAACACTGTTTGGCTATCGATTAGGAACATAGTATGGGACAAATATAAGGTAATGAATAAAAAGATGGCTCTTTCAAATTACATTTAAATTTTAGAGGATTAATATAAAAGGAAAAAAATTAAAAGATGAAATTGTTAATTTTGAAAAAAAATAAAAAACATGTCTGATTATTACTGATTCAATTAGATTATATTTGGGCTCCTAGTTAAACTACTACAACCGGCCCCAAATATGTCTGAAGCCCAATATATTTGAAGCAGTAAGCATAATATATAACTTGTTGCACACATGTATAAGCATTTCACAATCTAACACTTTTTCTTTTAATAAATATCCTTTCCTTATATTGTGGCAAAACTCTCTGTTCCCAGAACTCGGTCTTCTTTATCCTTCTAACTCTTCTTCTTCTTCCAGAAATAGCATTTATTTCGTCTCTATAATATCACTATCTGTTACTCCACTTTTATTTTGTTGCGAGAACCGGGACCACCCAATAATTTTTCGTTCTGAAGATGTGCCAACAGTTTAACGAGACGGTTTCCACAAATAGATAGTGTAAAATTTTGCTGGGATTTCTAGTATTGATCAGTAGCATGAATAAGGGTGGGCATTCTCTAAAATTGGTTCTCTTGGATTTGATTCAAAAGTGTAACAACTTGAGATCTTTTAACCAAATCCATGCACATCTATTGACCTCTGCCCTTGTTGCCAATGACTTGGTTCTCACCAAAGTTGCAAACTTTTTTGGAAAACATGTCACTGATGTTCATCACCCTTGCAATTTCTTGAAGCAATTTGATTGGAGCTTGAGCTCTTTCCCTTTCAATTTGCTGATTTCTGGCTATGCTTCTGGTCAGTTACCCTGCAATGCAATTCTGATTTATAGATGGGTTGTTAGAAATGGATTTGTGCCTGATGTGTACACTGTCCCATCTGTTTTGAAATCTTGTGCTAAGTTTTTTGGTATTATAGAGGTTAGACAGTTCCATTCTGTATCTGTTAAGAGTGGTTTGTGGTGTGACATGTATGTGCAGAACACTTTCGTTCATGTTTATAGCATTTGTGGCGATACTGTTGGTGCTGTTAAGGTGTTTGATGACATGCTTGTGAGAGATGTGGTGTCTTGGACTGGTTTGATATCTGGGTATGTGAAAGCAGGGTTGTTTAATGATGCCATTGCATTGTTTTCGAGAATGGATGTGGAGCCTAATGTGGCTACCTTTGTTAGCATACTTGGGTCTTGTGGGAAATTGGGTTGTTTAAATTTGGGGAAGGGGATTCATGGATTGGTTTTCAAATACCTATACGAGAAGGAGTTGGCGGTATGCAATGCTGTGTTGGATATGTATATGAAGTGTGAGTCTGTGACTGATGCAAAGCAACTGTTTGATGAGATACCTGAAAAAGACATTATTTCTTGGACTAGTATGATAGGTGGTTTAGTGCAGAGTCAGTGTCCCAAGGAATCACTGGACTTGTTCTGTCAAATGCAGTGCTCAGGTTTTGAGCCTGATGAGGTTACACTGACCAGTGTGCTTTCTGCTTGTGCCAGTCTTGGGCTTCTTGATTATGGCAGATGGGTCCATGAATACATTGATCGTAGCCGCATTAAATGGGATGTTCATATTGGAACAGCATTGGTTGACATGTATGCAAAATGTGGCTGTATAGAGATGGCGCAACGTATCTTCAGTGGAATGTCTTCTAAGAATATTCGTACTTGGAATGCCTGTATAAATGGTCTAGCAATAAATGGACATGGGCAAGAAGCATTGAAACAATTTGAAGATCTAATTGAATCTGGCGCAAGGCCTAATGAGGTGACCTTCCTAGCTGTTCTTACAGCTTGTTGCCATTCTGGCTTGGTCGTTGAAGGCCGTAGGTATTTCAATCAGATGACAAGTCCCCTCCACAATCTTTCTCCCTGTTTAGAACACTATGGATGCATGGTTGATTTGCTGTGCAGGGCTGGATTGGTGGAGGAAGCTTTGGAGTTGATAAAGACAATGCCCATGCCCCCTGATGTGCAGATCCTAGGAGCTCTTTTGAGTGCCTGTAATACATATGGAAATGTTGGATTCTCCCCAGAAATGTTGAAATCACTTCAGAATTTTGAATATCAAGATAGTGGCATATTCGTGCTTCTTTCTAATCTGTATGCAACTAATAATAAATGGGCTGAAGTGAGAACTGTAAGGAGACTGATGAAGCAGAAAGGAATAAGCAAGGCTCCAGGTTCTAGCCTTATAAGGGTGGATGGTAAGAGTCATGAATTTTTAGTTGGACATAACAACCATCCTCAAAGTGAGGATATTCACATATTATTGAACATCCTTTCCAATCAAATCTACCTTGAGGGGCATATTGATACCCTTTCTTGATCATACTGGCATACCTACCCTTAGCTCAAGCTCTTGAGTTTGGATTTAAACCAGTTCTAATGGCGCATTCTATGAATAGTGCCCTAAATGGTTTGACTTGTCTTTTTATGTTCCTACTCAATGGACGGGTTGGAACACGTTATGGAAATTCTTTAAAGTTACATAAGACCGCCGCATTTATGGTAAAGGTTCTTTTTTAGGGGCCAAGGGAAAATTATCTTGCATCTGTGCCACGGTAGTAACATTTCATGTTTATGACTGGGCCGGCGATAATTGGTCATCTGAACTTTGTAATTAGTGTAGGAAGGTGCCCTCAAGCTTTGGCATTGAGACCAAAACAGAGAAACAGAAGACACCGGTTCAGGTTCAGATATGAAATGCTTCAACCTCAAACAATTCATGTGGTGACTGTAGCGAGAGATTCATACCATTCCACTAAATGTAATGATGTCCACATTCCTTGTATACAAACTTTGGGGAGCAATTTCGGTACCTATTATATACTCTTCAGGAGGATTTCCATCATTCATTTCAGGAGATCTTACTGGAGTATGTGAATACAAAATTTTTTGATAAAACTTTATTTACATAAGTCGTGTCAGTTATAGTAGTTGTTTGAAGGGTTTTTGTCTTTTCCGGAAAGTCTTGCTTTAGTTGTAGAACTTTGAAAAAAGAAAAATACAATTACGTGTATATATATTATGAGTTTATGACCATGACTCATACTGAAATCAAACAAGGACTAAGAGCCTCTTCACATGTGTAGGTCAGAGAAAATATAAAACATTAAGTGAACATCTCAGTGGTTTACACTTTTCTTCCGAAGTAATAGGACTTGTTTGAATAAACTTCTTAGTTGCGCCTGCATTCCATTCCTGGCGTGTTTGAATAATGGGAAATTGGGAACAAGAATGCAAGACTTGAGACAATGTTAAGTCGTTAAGATATCAAATTCCCAGTCAACAAAAATAGAAAAAATGAAAAAATCCTATGGCTTTTAAAGTCAATCTTAATCCCTTGTTATTTTTATAATACTATTTAGGATTTTGTTCTTATTTTGGTTTTTGAAGGGATGTATTTTTTCGGAATGCATGTATACCAAAAGGATAAAAAAAAAGGCGAGAAATGAAAATAATATACTCCGAACAGTATCCTCTTCCTAGGATTCCTAGAGCTTGCAACGAGTTCAAGTCAAAAGGTCTGGAAATTATCTTACATATTCTATCCCAGTAGGATAAATATTATGATGTTTGCAATTTGATACAATGGCTTTTCTGTAAAAGAAAGCATTTAGATTCTTTAGAATGACTTTACCAAACGAAAGAGGGCATAAATGAATGGAGAGAGAAAAGAAAATTGTTTGAAGACAGAGAATGTTGATTCAAGAAGTTCCGTACCTTTAAGCTTTTTCTTAATAAATAAATAAATAAATAAAAATTATTATAAAGTTTGATAATTAAAGATGCTTGTTGTCATATTTTAAATTTAAAAAGATATTATATCTTTTTTAAAATTAAGATTTGTAATTCTTCTATTAAAGAATATTTACATCTTTTACAAATTGAATATTCTTTTACAAATAAATTACTAATTACGTTATCTAGATGTAAGTGAATATAAAATGCCCTTTTAATTTTTAAAGGGCCTTAGAAATTACCATAATCAAATACTCAAACTATTTGCTAATTGGAATGCAATTACAGGAAAGCTGAGTTAGCATCAGCCTCTCCGCAGTTATTGGAATATGACCAATCAATCAAATTAGATGTAGATCATTTCAGTATTCGTGAGTTGATTTTTCTTAAACAACCATACATATCATACAAGAACAGTTACCCAATATAGTAGTACTGGAACTTACACTCTTGTCAGTTTGTGAGTAATTAGAAGGGTATCCTGATTTCTTTATCCTTGAGTTAGATTGTACATTCAAATTTTCTAGCTGCCATTTTTTTAAATACCAATGTAGAGTTGTGGAGCTGCTAAAACGTGCATGCAAGGACAAAATACAGGAAACAAGTAAAATGAAATATATTTGACAAATCAATTGTGTATATACCTAACGAACTTGTCAAAAAAATTATTAGAGATCAGCATGAGATCCTCATCCGAATTCACACACTCAAGTCTTCTATGGACCACAATCCAGAAGAATAAATGAAATTTATGAAATCAAACTTCAATAGTTTTCTGATTGAGAGCAGTGTATCTCCATCTTTCCTTCTCCACAAAGTCTGCATCAAGAAACCGAGCAACAAAAGCCCATAGTTTAAAGACATCTTCAAAGTTAGCAAGAAAGCTTAATGCAGCAGTAACTACAGTTACTCCTAGCTTATCTCTATCTTCCATCTTGTTGGTAGTTACTCTCTGGCCTCTTCCTTCTTTGGTCTGTAGGGCTTTTCCTTTCTCATTTGCATACTTATCTGAAAACCAAATATGATGTAGAAATCCATAGCTGAGAGATATATTGCTTCTATCAGCAAGTTTCTGCACCAACACAGGCTCGACCTTTGCACCTTTCCAATCAAACACATTGAATGCCAAAGCAGGTCCCCTGTCAAACTTTATCTTTGGGCCATAAATCTTGACTAGGGGAACCCCTTCTGAATTAGGGTGCTTTAATTTCATCATTGAGTTCACCAGCCAATTTATCAGGTACCTTGTTCTGTTGGTGATCAATATCAACCCCAAAGAATCCACTTGATCTAAACACCTACATTCAATATTAAAGCTCCCATTTTCACCATCTTGTGCTTTCTTATTTTGAAGGCTCTCAACTAGTCCTTCCGTAGGTGCCACTATGACCTGAAGCTCTGATGATTCCTCTTCAACTTTTAAAGACTGTGTGGTTTGTATCCGACCAGAGAAAGAACTTAAAGAAGACAATTCTTGTTCATGTAAGGTAGTTAAATAATTTTGTTTGCCATCATCACCAGAAGAAGAACCCATCTCCTGTGATAGCTGAAGTAGCAGCCTTTCTGGCACAAGGTTCACAATTCCTGCACAAGAGGAGGGTTCAAGAATGGAGATAACAGATTTCTTGACAAAAAGGCATCCAAACCCAGAAGGGTTTTCTCCAAAAATCTTGTAGAAAGAACAAATGAGAAAGTCAGGGCGAAAGAGAGAGAGGCCAAAACTGTCCATGTCTTTTGGCCCTAAAGCACAAGCATCAATCAACACATGCCACCCATTTTCCTGTGCTATGCTCATCCACAGATAAGGATATCTTGCTCCTGTTACCCTTGAATGAACTGGGAACACAAAAAGACCCCTCTTTTTCTTCTTCTTACTCTTGCTAACAATCATCTTTCTCAGTTTTGATGATTGAATCCGAAGCCTTGGCCATGAGAACTCTGCTGACATGGCCTTGGCTCCTCTCTTCTCTGAGCAACTAATCATTGCTTCCACTGCCTCACTCTCATAGTCATACACTGTCAGAAGCTTCTTACTAGATTTGAATGGATATGAATCTGCCACTAGCTTGAAAGCTGAAGTTCTGTTTGCTGTGAAAACCATGAAGTAATCATTCTCAGATATGTTAAGGAACTTCATTATTCTTCTCCTCATTGCAGACTCAAACTCTGATTCCTGCCCCCCATGAAGCAATAGATTCTTCAGATTCCCAGTCTTATAGGATATGCTAAAGAAGGGAATATCAGAATATTGGGGTGGAGATTGAGGTGTTGAAGAAGAAGCAAGTTGGGTTTTTGAGGTGTCATGGTGTTGACGTTGGTAGTAAGAGAAAAGGCCAATACCAATGTAATCAAGGCATGATTGGTTTGAGAAAGAGAGATGGTAATATTCTTTGGCTCTCACATGGTCTACCTGTTCAGAGTCTGAGTATTGAGGGTACACTTTCTTGAATTCACTGAATGATTCATGCAAAGATGGAAGAGACTCATGGTTGGTGAATTTGGTGTTTGGAAAGATTGAGGATGCTGTTGTGGCAACAAAGCTGTGGCGACACTCTGAAGAACTGTTTCTTGGTTTGGTTATTGTGTTCTGAGATGATGGTGGTGGTGGGTTGAACAATATTGAGGTAGGGCAGCAACCTTGAGGGCATGCTTCGGAGGCCTCATTTTGACCAAGTGATTGCATTTTTTTCCCTTTCCTTCTTCTTTGCAATCACAGACAATTGTTGTTGCTTATATGTGTGTTGGTTTTCTTTGTAATTTTGTGTCTGGATGAGGGTGGCTTATAAAGCGCTGTGTGAACACATTGACAGGGTCAGGTAACACAATTTGGACTGTTTCTTAGGTTGTTTGTCAATTGATCTCTTAATAATATAACTGTGTCTCACCGTCCAATCAATATGTATCTAGGCGTGATAATGGTGATGTATACTTTGGGAGATTTCCTGACACGTTAAAAAGAAAGAAAAAGCAAAAACATTTCTTGTTGCATATTAATTTTCTTTTGCTTAGTTGTATGAGAGGTTACAGAAAACATAAATTTTCATAGAGTGATGTAAGATTTTGAAGTGGCAGAAGAAACATAAATGATGACAAATTGGTCGTACACATATGTAATAAAAGAATAATGCTGCTAATCTAATTTTGTTTTTCATGAGTTGACCGCAACGAGTACAGCATACTAAGAGTTTAATTTTATGATCATGGTAAAGAAAATTATTGACTATGTAAGCTTGTAATCTACCTAGGCAAGACTTTATTATCACAATAGGTACAAATACTGCAGAAGACGAGTGCTGCAAGGAAATTATTAGCTACTAAGTTTAATAAATTCTAATAGTACATGGGTGAAGAATGAGAAATGAATAAAAAAAAACATTTTTTAGTGTAAAATTACAGCTTTGAAAAGGTGGAGCAAGGTTAGTAAGTGGAGGACAGAATGGTCGTTATTTAAGCCGGCATTATCGATGAGGTCCAGAAAAAAAGAAGTCTCTTTCAGATTTCTTCTCAGTACTTGCAGACAATGCTTGCTTAAGGTTTAAGTGTTACGAAATCAAACTAAACAAAAGCTCCATTATTGTGGATTCATCATTACTTCCCCTTCCAAGATTTAGCTTAGGTGCGATGTTGTCCTTGTTTCGCTATGAACCTTTACAAATTAATGTTTTTTTTTTTTTTTCAGTTGAACATGTTGAGTGAACTGGCATGGCTTGCTCAATATATTAAAATAAAGAAGCATATATTTTGTTTTATCAAATCTCCTACTTATTAGATGTATATTTGCAAGATATTAAATATGTTTATTTTTTATCTACCAAAAAATATATTTTTTCATAAGGGAAATAATTTGTAAAATAGGAAATTTTTATGTCATACTAATATGCTTATTGTTACTTTAATTAAAGAATTATATAACATATTCTTACTATTAATATAATTATAAAAATATAATGAAAAAATTATTTAAGAGAAAGTGATAACAAATATATGAATATGATAATAAATCGTGTGAGACAATATTATGAAAGAAATGGAATTAACCTAAAATAAATTTTCAATATAGTGGCACGAAGGTTGCATTATTGTTGGCTTGATTGGGTACACAATGGCATTGGGTGTGTGAGGAGGGTGGGCTCAATAACCAATATAGAATGTGAGGCATGCTTATGATGAAGAAAGGCCCTTCTTTATTCAAAAAAGAACAAAGTGAATTTGACTGTCATTAAAGTATGACTGCAAATAATGAAAAGGAAAAGGCAAAGCTGCAAAGAAGGTTTGGTATGTTCTGCGGAGGAAATAAAGTTTGCGAAATTAGTTGCCAAGTTTGGGGTTCCCTTATAGGGTTAAGTAACTTGCTAGCTATACTATGTACCCATAATAATTTAATGTATCTAATATTCAAAATAATTATTTACCTGTTTTATAGAGTATTTGTATCGGTGCATTCTAGCATCTTTTTTTTTTCCCCAAGGATAATGGAGGATAACTCTTTTAAATATTTCTTATCATTGATTTTATATATATAAAAAATGAATGACTACAATTTAAATATTTAATTGTGAAATAGTAAATAGTAAACAGTTTAAGCACGTTGGAATGGTAACATATTTTAATAAATAGTAAAAATGTAAATGCATATATTTTGCTTTGTTTTCTTTAGGTGGTAAGTGTTATACAATTGATTAAAACTAAGAAATATTGGTTTAAATCAAATTCGTGAGGAAAGTCCTATCTCAAGCAGAATTTATACGTGAAATTTCATTTATAAATGAATGTAGGTCGAGAGGGAAATTTTTTTCTACGAACTACAATGGTCTCGACAAATAAAAACGTGACATATATACATTTTTTTAAAATTTTTGACGTGTTAAGTTGTGACAGTTAAAAACACATAATTTTATATCACCTTAAAACTTTTTGTGTAAAGAAAATGTTGGTTTTTTTATGGCACAGAAATAAAGAAAAAAATATATACAAAATTGTGAGAAAAATGAATGGGAAAAACTCAACTTTATTGAATTATTGAATAGTAATAGTATATTTATAATAACTCAAAAAATAAAAACTAATTATATAATTTAAAAATTGATAATAAATTTAAATAAAAAAATTAAATTATTTCTAAAGTGTAGAAACTATTGTTGATTATAATATTAATCTAATTAATTGAAATAAAAAAGAAACAACTTAAAGCAATTTTAGAAGCACGTTACTAACAGAAAATTGAGTTTCACATATCATGTAGGGTCCAAAGGAACCACCAACATCAAATGAGCTTTTAGGGTACTGAGTAATGAAAAGAATTGCCATTAGTGAAACGAAATCAACAATAATGGGAATAATTGACTCACGGGTCCGATGATTTGCCTTGATGAGACATCCTTGCTGAAGTTGAAATCGAAGTGCAGAGATTGAAAGAACCTAGGAAACTAAGAACATGTGGTTTTCTCCTTCAGGAAATTACCGATCTGTGCTTTAATTTATTGCTACTTTCTCACAATGAATCATTAACCGTTTAAAAAACCTTTCAATCAATGGTAAAAAAACCAGGGAGAAGTCATCCTTCACTATGCTTATAGAAAAGATAGGAACGATAATAGAATTCACCATTTGTATCTTCTTCTTTTTTTCATTATTTTAAGCAGCTCTTTTCTCTCATTCAATACTAGATGCCTATATATAGAAGTGACCATTCCTTAAAATTAATGATATGACTAGATAAAGGATACAACACAAAAAATAGAGAATAAAAAATTAGAATTATAAAAAAATTGTTATTTGAATGGAAAAAATAAAAAATATCATTATATTATATTAAAAAGTTATTGATAATATTCATAACTTCTAAATTAATCTAATTTTTATTTAAAAATTATTTTATTTTTTATACTTTATAAAAAATATTTAATGATATAATAAACTCATACAAATAATATCTAACACCCCTTCTTCATTCTCGTATTCTATTCTTACTTTTAATTACTTTTTATATAATTTTTATTTTATTTTCTATCTTAAAATATTTATATAAAAGATGCTAAAAATATAAAAAAAATTATTTCCTTTATAAAATAAAAACAAGATAGTAATTTTATAATTAAAAATTTGTAAAATGTTTTCTAAAACAAGAAAACCTTTAATTTTTTTATGGGAAAGATAAAAAGCTTATTTCCATGTATTTAAGCAACTACTCCTAAAGATTTTTAAATAATATAAACTTGTGTTAATATATATGTGTGTGCGTGTTAAAACATTGAAGAAGAAAAAGCCGTATGTGTGTGTGTGTGTGTTACATCTCCGACAGATCTTCATAACTTCAGGCACAGAAAAAACAGCAGCTTCTTCCACAGGCACAGGGACAGATTAACACGCACGTTTATAAATTTACACAAAAAATTACACCAAGTTTAGCATTAAAAATGCACTTGCCTCAAGCATCTTACTAAAAGGTTGGCTTTTATGTCACACTAAGAAAATGCTATATACTAATTTACCTTAAGCTCATAAAGATGTTAGGCTGAAGTTATGCATTTCCTCTATCCTTGGATTACCTCTTATTTGCTACGAATCCATGAGATAAAGCTAAAGCAGCCATAGGGCAACTCTCCCTTGGCATGTTAACTATAACATTGTCTTTTGGTGGGTAGCTCCATAAATAATGACTATTTACATGCCAAGAGAGAGGTGCCCTATCGTTGATTTGCTCACAAAAAACAGTGTTTTCAACTCAAGTTGGTGCTTGTGCCTTGAACTGCCTCTGGTTTGCATGTGATACTTGAGCAGCTTTTATAGCTTAGAAGAAGGAATAAACCACTAAAACATTGGCATATGCTTGAGGTTTATGCTATGAATATCCACTAAATGCTTCTTTCTTTAGCTGACATTCGTTCAGGTTTGATGCTCATAAATTGTAGATTCCAGATCCCCACAGGTCTGAAAGCTTCACTGGTACTTCAAATGAGAGAATTGGAGAAAAGAAACTGAGATTAAATCAGATGATTTATGAGACATCAGAGTTGATGACTGGCTTGGTCCTCTAAACACAAGGTTCTTGTGTCATACCTTATCTGTATTTGCTTTCAACGTTTCCTAGTTCAATACGTTTGGGATTTCTATTTTTATGTTAGACCTTTTAATTTAAACATATTCTGTGTTTATAAATTTTAATGACTCTTTGAGATTTCTTTGTCAAAGTTGATTTTTCTTGCACTTCTTGTCTCTTTTTTGCAGTACAGCTAGCTAAGACAACTATTTTTTCTCATCTTTATCATGTTTCAATCTTTCGAGAATGGTTCACATCTTGTCACGCAAACAAGATTGACAACGAAAGCAGGATCATACCATAAAAGTCCTAGCACTCCAAATTTTAGCCATTGCATGGGGGAGACATCAAACAGGAAAATTTGCTATTATTATACCAATTTTTTAATTCTATTTATGCCAATAAAAAGCCAGTAATTATACTTAAGGATAAAAATATGTTAGACTAAATATAGACTTAGTCTGTTTAATAATTTTAAAGCTTGAGCATGACGTATTACTTGTGTTAGGCTTTTTATGAAGCTTAGCCTAACTTTTTTAAAAGTTTAATTTGGTCTATTAACTTGTTTAAAAACTTATTTCGTATTAAGATATTTAATAGATCATTCAACTTTCTTATAAACAGGGTATTAAATTATTTAAATAAGTATATATTTTTTTAAAAGTTTTAAGGCTTTATCTAAATAAATAATAAAAAAAAATAATTCAACACCTTAAACATGTATAATAAAATTATATATTCCTATTTATCACTTTCAAACCAAATATTTAATTTAAATAAGTAAATCACTACACGTACAAAAAATAAAATAAAATAAATATTTTTATAAATCATTAAGCAAATCTAGTAATATAAAGTCTTACACATTAAATCAACAAATATAATATAACTAAATAAGTTTTAAATTTAAAATTAGTGAATGCAACAAATTAAATTATAATGAAAAGGATTATGATTTTTAATTTAATATTTTATCATTTTAAAATTTAACTAATTTAATTATTATATTATAATTTTTATATAAAATTATGTAATATATTATTATAAATTTTAAATAGGTCATATTGATAGGCTTAATAGATTTTTTTTAAATTTAAGTCTGACTTATTTAATTAATTAAATTTTTAAAAAAATTTAAATTAAGTTTATTAATTAAATAGATTAAACCGACTTAGACTTTAAATAGGTTAAGCTGAAAGCTCACGTTGAACGATCTAACCTATTTCTATTCCTAGTTGTACTTTCAGAGAGAGATTAACAGAAATAAGGAAGACTACTATATATTAGCTTATTATGCTCATGAAACTTTGATAAATTTGATTTTTCAACTTTTCTTTACTCTCTGCTCATTTGATTAATTATTAGTAAACCTTTCTGTGAAGTTTAATTATCTAATATTCTAGATGAATTAAAAAAAAAATCTGACTAGCACTTATAGCATGATGTCCTCAAAATCATTTGTATTTTTATAAACGTTGAAAAATTGTCTTATTAACTCATCGCATTTTTAATTTTTAAGTCAGGTCAACATAGTTTAAATTTCATAATTTATTTTTTATTCTGTTTTTAAATTTCTCACTGTAATTATATTGACAAACTTCAAATAATTATATAATACTATTAATTTTATCTCCCTCTATTTTTAACTTTTACTGTCCTTTCAACTTTTTTTTAGTGACAATAAATTAATGTCACGTGGAATTTAAGTTTTATAATTAGCTACAGTGTTGATATTAGAAAACTAACAAATTTATGAAACCCAATAATCAAGATAAGAAGACAAAAAATTATTAATAGTCAATAATTTTGTTATTTAGCTTTAAGAAAATTACTTCAATTTGATATATTGTTTATAATTTTTTATTCGCGCTCCCATTTTTTTGTGACATAAGTATTTGTGTTTATAAAATGCTATTTTTTTTTAAAAAAAAAGTCCAACACATTCTTCAACATGATTTTTATTTATTTTTTGCCAAGCTTCTTAAAGTCAAACAATGCTAGTTTAATAGTGAATCCCGCAAAACAAGTTCATGAAGATTTTAATAAGTCAAAAGGTATATTCTTTCTCGAAAAATATTAAACCATTAAAATAAATATTATGAGTTTGTATTATACATATTAACAAACTATACCCTAAAATTATGGATGTTTAGAATCCTATTTTACCATTAAACTCAAAGTTTGAGCAGTTCAAGTTATATTTAATTTTATCAGTGTCGAATCAAGACTGATCTTATTTCTTATTTACTTTACCAATTCGACTAATGAACATCAATTTATACTTTTTCTATCTTTCTCCATTCACCACCCCCTTATTTGTTCCATCTTCATCACCGGCATCACTAGACTCGAAATTTTTGGCAACCTCTTCTAGCAAACGTTAGATAAGACTCATTAGTTGCATTGTGAACACACACACAGATTTTTAGGCACTCAAAAAAAAAAAATGACATTATGAGTATTCTTGTACCAAAGGCTATCGCATTGTTGAAAGCTTGACAAACTGTTTTCTTATTTATCCACTCTTCCCAAAACAAATCAGTTTAAGACTAATGATCAAATAAATCTTCAACAGTAAAAATCTAGAGGCATCCCCATTGGTTAATCTTGTTTCAGTGCTGTATCAGCCTCACAGTTTGGGTTCACTCTAAGTATGTGTGTGGAATTAATGATAATAGCTTTTTGTAATTTTATTCCATTTACGGTCTACTTGAGCTGAAAACCAAAAGGGAATGAAGCTGTGGGTTTCTTCTCTGATCATCAATGGTTTCAACACTTCGACAGCTTTGATATTATGAATAAGAGTAGTGTCATAAAAATCACATCACTTGCTTCCTTTAACAAAACTTGTGAATTGAAATATACAAAAGAAAATGTATGAATTGGACTTGAATGCCACGAGTTTCATTCCCTTGCATACTGCTGCTCTTCGGTGGACATAGCATGGAATATCATAGATGAATAGATATATTAAGCTAAAGCAGCAATAGGGCAACTCTCCTTTGGCAAGACATGCCATGGAGTGGTCATGATAATTTCCTGCCAATAAAGAGGTGCCCTATAGCTGGTTTGCTTATTTACTAAAATCTTGTGGAAGCTCCTGCTTTTGCACACAACCTTCCATGAGCATTACAATTTATAATAAGCACAAGACATGGCATAAACCAATACTCAAAAGCATATGCTTGAGGTTATGTTGTGAATATCTTCACCTGCTCTGGAGAGAAATCATGAAAAGTTGATGAAAGGTAGATGCTCCTTCCATTTTATGAAGATGCCTGGGGTTGAGGTATACCGGATTTTACAAAGCATATGCTCGTGTCAATTCTTTTACTTTAAAAATACTTTATATGTTGGCTTTTCAGAATTTATAAGTCCAACTAGCATTTTATGTTCTTGAATTTGTGTCCTTTGAAATTAAAAATATATATACTGCCAGTTTATTTTTTGGTCTTGAATGTTCTTAATCTAAAAGTCACGTTAAACTTAATCTAAATAAAGTCAAGTGGATCTATTTAAATAAAACAAGGTTTTTAGAGTATTTTTTTCATTCACAAAATTAGTGTTACCTTACTAAAGGAAGAACTACCGAATTCCTTATCACTTGGACCCCGGGTTGGTGTGACTATCTGTTTATTGCCATTTTAAGTAAGAATATATATGAAGAAACAAAGAATTTGAGGCGTGATCATCCTTGTCACAGTGACCAACATATTCGCTGATTATTATGGGTTTCTTTAGTAATAAATAATCTTTCTTCTACATGCTTTTCTGTCAATGACAAAGAATGTCCAGAAAACCATAAACTAGATCACTTGTTCCTTCCCATTTTTAATATTGCTTCATCTGACTCATCCTTGGATTATTATTTTTTATTCTCAATTGAAGTCTGTAGAATAATTATGCAAACAATAGTGCATCATGAAAGATATTAAGTAAAAATAGGTAGGTAATTTCCAATCAAGAAAGGTAGAACTTTTCATCACATTTGACTACCTTAACCCTGCTTTTTCAATTGTTTTTTCAAGTTTGTTGAAATTTTTTCCCATGGCTAGTATTATAGTGTATTATTATGATCTTTACTCAATTCAGAGGGTTTTTCTTTACGGTTTTTCAAAGTCTACTCCTATCAAATAAGATCGCGTGTTTAAAGGATATAATTTCCTTCCATTCAGACTAACACACATTGGCTATTCAAAGGTGATTTAACATTTAATGTTCCAACAGATGAAAAACTTGAAATGAGATTGCCCAAGTTGAGAAAGTGTAAAAGGTCGCATCATTGATTCTAAATAAATAATAATTATATAAACCGGTTATGAAAGAAATTCAAATAAGATTTGATATCGTAATGAAAAGACGATGGATCGACAATATCCAACCTTGGAGCAATATTGTTCTGATTCTTGGAAGGTAAAACAAGGCATCCATCGATAGACGCTGTGTTCGAAATTCAAATTATAAACTGTTCTATAAGATTACGAATGGAGGTCTACAAAATTTTTCTCTCTTCAAATAAATTTAACCAGGTTAGTTTCTTTTTCGTTAAATTTAGGTAAAATCTATTCTACTCTTTGATTGACAGCTAAATTTAATTTAATGGCGTGAATAACTTTTTTTTATAAATTTACATGTATTAATTATGCATTAAATTAGTGGATTGTACAAAATGTTGTTTAATTTTAAAATAATTTTTTATTTTTAATGTTTAATTATCTATTTAATTAATAGGATATAATAAATATATTTTTATCATTTAATTAAAAAAAGTACAATTTTATCGTTTGCACACAATTTATATTATTATTTTTATCATTATCTTGATCATAAAATTATAAGATAAAATAATGTGATATTATCTTATGTGTTATGTGTTATTTGATGTGCACCGAACATTGACCAAGATAAATGTTTATCACACTCATTCTATTCTACTTTCGAAAATATTTTTTAACAGTCATAAAATAGGGTATAGTTTGGGAGGAAGAAGAATGAGACGACAGAAAAGTGAAAAGGATGAGAGATAAAGAAAAAAGTTATGATAAAGGGAAAAAAGTGATAAAAAGAAAGGAAAGACGAAAAATAAATGCAAAAGAAACTAAATATGAATATATAATTACTCTTTACTTTTATCTTACCTTTTTGTTTATTTATTGCTATCTCATTATGACCATTAAATTAACCTTTTAAAGTATACAATTTATCTTGTAAGAAGAGTTTAGTTAAAAATAAATAAAATAAAATAACATGATGTTATTTAATTTTTCTTACCTTTATGTGCACAGAAGATATATAATAATAATTTAACTTATTATAATCTTATCTTTGTTTTATCCGGTTAAAGTATCAATTTTTTTTTTATCTTATCTTGTTTAATAAACATAAAATATATAAGTTGAAATTTTTTTTTCAGAAATTTTATTATATCAAATTTTATTATATTATGAAATTTACATAATTATCATACAAAAGAAAACAATGCGAGTTTTTTTTTTTATTTTTTTAACTATCAACAGACAGCACTCAGTAGAAAATGTCTGGTAACCACTCAGCTATACCAAGCATCAAATATGAAACAGCGGAAATATGCACTGAACTGATGATCCCTTCACTTCCGCCCAAGATAGAATCTTCTCTTTATAATCTTTTCTCCCATATACCTGTCTCAAATCAATGAAAGAGTAAGAAAATGAATATAACTTAAATTGTAAAATTATTATCATTATCAAATCACAATTTCTATATAGATAGGTGCCTATATATGTTTACCTTCCAAGCATCATTACAGAAGCTTGAGGATTGGTCCCCGGTGAGCGATTAAAAGTGGAACCATCAATTACCCTCAGAGATTCCACACCAGAAACCTTATAATTATGATCAACAACCTTACCACGTTGGCATCCTCCATGGTAATGCCAAATTGTTAGGACAGTGTCGATGCAATATTGTTCCAATGAAAAAGCAGCACTGGGATGTTTTGGCCTCAAGTTAACTGGTAAGTGCAACATCAAGTCTATTAGAGTTTGGACCGGCATGTTGTGATAGCGAAACCTTGAGAATGCTTTGGAGTTTATCACATCTATGATGGTTTTCATGCCTTCAACACACATCCGTAAGTCCTCTGGATCCTTAAAATAGTTGAAGGTAACTGAAGGGTTATCATTGGGATTAGTGGTTATGAGCTCCACATGACCCGTTGATCTTGGTCCAATAAACTTTTCAAGTATGACTCCTCCTTTAAGAATTGGATTGGCTAAAGATCTAATGGTGTCAGCAACACTCTCCTTGACTTCTGGGGAAAACGTGGAAGGTTGACCAGACTTCAAATGAGGACAAAATTTCAGTTAAGTTTCCTTCATGAGAAAACTTCTAATTCAAGGAGTTGAAAGGGCGTGCACTTTTGACATTAAGTTTATATATGGATGGATCACCTGAAAGAATGTGAAACCGAAAACCAAAAAAAGGGAAATAGTGGAAAATAAAAGTGGCTAGATATATTTTTTAAGACATTGCTTTACGTTATGTGATTCGTTATTGAAGTGTTTTATTAATTAAACTGTGACTTCAATTGGGCCAGATTTATCAAATGACACATCCAATGTAAAGCCTAAATAGTTATATGGATGCAAGTAGCATAGTGGATACTGACCTGGTTTGTAACAAATTCAAAAATCCCTTGAAGCCTTTCGGACCAAGAATGGCCCAAGCTCAATCCACTGGCTGTTTCAATGAAGCCACCAAACTTAGTGATCCCCACTGTTTGGATCAAAGAGACTTCAACAGGCACCGGGGAAGGAACTACTAGAACGTTCATTGGATTATCTGCCAGCCCTTGACCCACCAAGGGTTGATCCAAAACCACTTTGATTCCATGAGCCTGAAGATGGCTAGCAGGACCAATCCCACTCAGCATCAGCAGCTGTGGGCTTCCAATTGCACCAGCTGATAAGATTATCTCGTTCTTTGGTTTTGAGATTAAGTATGCTATATGCATGATTCCAAGTGCATCCTTGAAAATAACTCCATACGCTTGAGGCCTCCTTTTTTCTGTTTAAAAAATTATGATCAACATCAGTTACCTAAAATTCATATCAAATTGATGAACGAGGCATCTATTCTTAATTCCTAACCTATGTTATGCTTAAATAGTATCTTCTGCACTGTGGCATGCAGATAAACAGAAATCCTCTTAGGATCAGCATACTCTAACAAATCAGCTGCAGTGTGCCTGTGACCCTCCTTATCAAAAATTGTCCCTCCAACCTTAGTCCCAGGCAAGTGATCAAAAGTGAAACCATTGTAAGGCAACACACCAACTTCAAGCAACCCATCCCTCACTGCTGATTGCCATTGCAGCATTGAGGGCTCAAAAACCACCTTGTTTTCAACCCATTCATATGAGTCCTTAGCCATAGTTTCATTCCAACCACTTTCCTTTATGTACCTGGAGCTAGCCCGGGAATAGAACCCTGCATTCAAGACAGAGCCACCACCCAAGACACGAGCCCGGGCATTTAGGACCCCGTCCTTGGATATAAATTGTTGGGCAAATGATGAAGGACTTGTGTCAGAGAGGGAATTAACAAAGTTCATTATGTTAATTCTCTCTGGGTTTGTGTATGGAGAGCCTCCCCTTTCAAGGACTAAAACTCTAGCACCTTGTGAGAGTGTTGCTGCTAGTGGACACCCGCATGTTCCTCCACCAATCACTATGTAATCATAATATAAGATTGGCGGAGCAGAAGTTGCTTCTCTGACAAATGTGTACTTTGGATCTGCATGATGGACATTTAGGAAGGAAGAGATCAAAGAAAATACGTGCTATTAGAAGAGCTTTAAAGAAACACTACCTACCTATCATTCAACTAAACAAAAGAAACTTGCTTTGTTGTTGTTCTCATTTTTCTATTCTCAATTCTTTGATTAAAAGGTTGAAGAAAACAATTAGAACTAATAAAAAGGTCAACTCATAACAACATCGGAACTTAACAAAATTTTTGAAATTGAAAACTAGTACTCCACAATAGGGTATTACCTTTGCCAGAATAACATAAACCGTTAAAGAACATGCACCAAAAAACAAATGCCCATATAAATTTCGTCAACACCGAATCCATAATGTCTATCTTCACTTGTTAGAAGCTAAAACCATTTGCGGATTTTCCCAAAGAATCGAAGCCCTTTTTATAATATTATACCCAGAAAATTAAAATCTACTTCATGCACTACCCTTTGCTCTTGCACATAAAATTTGTTTGTTCAACAACATCCATTTTGAATATCGTTCCATATAAAGATTAAGTGTTCTTGGAACTTGTCGTAATGCATGAAGTGTGAACATGGCATAAATTGGATCTCTATTCCCTTGGAAATTATTCTTCAATATAACGTGTGGTTAACCAAAGATAGAAAAAAGTGACTTTGCAATTACAGGAAGTTAACTCCTTTATATTAAACTTGACTTTTTATTCTTAGGAGCCAAGGTTGTTTTTAACGGTAATCCTAACATACTAAATTTTTTTTTATTCATGATCTTAACTATTAGTTTGATATTACAAAAGTAAGTGAGAAACATCAAATTAAGAAGAAAAAAGTGAAACTCACATTATTTTTGTAGATTTTAATAAATAATCAGAAATATGTTAAATAAAGAATGTATTTTTAGCATTCGTCTTTCCTCGATATACTTATTTCATTAGTTCAAATTTTTTATTATGCAACTTTCTTAAAGTTGCATGCGAAAAACTTCGTTGCTTATGATAGATACACCTGATTAGAATCAGATTAGTCAGATGTTTAGTGTAATATTTGAATATCAAAGTTTTAAACATATATATGAGAGAATTGACAGAGTTGAATTTATTATATAGAAGATAAATTTGTTCTCGTGTTATAATCTGTCGCATCATGCTTGCGTAAGTTCCATCCAAATGACCTTACAACCACTGATAATAAAATTGTAAATACATGCATGGTATCAGATACTATGGTGATTGATATAGATCGTAATTTGGGTTAATGTTGTAAGTCTAAGTCATAATGATGACTTGTATGTTAAGAATTCATATGGTCGTTTGTGTAAAAAAATGTTGAAATAATACAAAACTCACTTATGCGAAATTTATGTTTCGTAGTGATTAATTTGTGATTCCTGATTGAGGAAAACCTTTTTTCCACGAAAGATAAAAAAGAAAATGGTTTAGACTTAAAAGTGTAGCCAAAAGGACATTTGGCAATTACTGATACATTATGTGAGTTGTGAGGGTAATCAAATGCGACGATTAACAAGTCCTCGCCGTGAATCTCTTGTCTTGCTTCTGGGTATAAGCTACCCATAACTTAACCATTTTGCATTTCACGATTTTCTCTTCTTTCATTTAATACACAATAATGATTCATTGTACACACATACTAAATTACGAAATTAAGTTCTTCATTAACAAAGGCCAGATCGCGTAGTTTTATTGCAAACAATTAATTAATTAAAAGTTATAACTATATATGTATATATATCATAAATTTATATTATATTATAGAAATATTTATAAAATGAAATAGTCAATTGATTTATTTTTTTCCCTTTACGTAACCTTTTTCTGTCCGTTTAACTCATTTTGCATTGAACTTTGCCCTTCAATTTCGAATCGAGGACACATCACAGTTACGCGTCAAACCTACGGATGCACTTTCTCTTTACAAACACGATGCCATGTTTTTAACGATCCAGTGAAAAGTTGAAAACATGGAAATTTTATTTATTAACCCAAAGTAAATAAACCGCAATTAAATTTGGTATACACTGCTACAGTATGCACTTAAAATTCGGTGCCAAATAGCTACTGCTATTTATTATCCTAGCGGAAACGACTTCCTCTAAATTTAATTGCCCACACTCCCAATAATCATGAACTCGTCAACGTGTTTCTCAGCAAAACCAAACTCGCACTTGCTTTCCCTCTTAAATCCACTTCTTCAGAGTCTCCTGTTACTTTATCATTTGGGTTGGATTTGGTCATATGTTCGTCTCCTTTTCCTTCACTTGCGACTATGCATTTATTATACAGAACAAAAGTCAGAACTCTATTTTAATGCTTTGACGAGGGGGGAAAACTGAAATTTATATTTTATAAATATTTGTTTATAGATATTAATATAAATTCATATATAATAAAAACAGTAACATATTACAAGATTTAATATACTCATCGTATTAAATGTTATGAATTTTATATTAATAAGACTCTTACTAGTTTCTCCTATAATTAAATGGTATGAATATAGAATACTTATGATAAATAATTATTTTTTATTTATTTTAATAAATTGATTTTTTTATATAAAAATGTTTATTAATAATTTATTATTACTCATTGATTGAGATGTTATTTAATAAAAATTTATTTATTAATATAGATATTATGAATCTATACTAACATTATAATATTTTCTATTAACAAACAATTCTATTAGTAAAAAAAAATCTATATAAAAGCTAATGAAACGTTGATACTTGTCTCGCTAGTCCCCATTTCTTGTTCGTTTTCGAACCCCACTTGAGGCTAATGGAATTGTTGAATTGAGACTGTATTCTTTCAATTCAGGTTCAAATAAAAATGCAACAGTGACCACTTTCCATTGTTTGGCTTGAGAATCTTATTTTTGAAGGATGGCTATGACATATTCTCCAATGACCAATTCAAAGGGGCTTATAATTTGTCTTAACTAGGCCTTCACAGTGGTACTAAAAGGACTTCTCAACTATGCATTCAAAACATGAAACGAGAAAACCAACTTTCATATATTAATTAATTAAATCCCTAATCTACTTCTTATCATGTTCTCGTTTAACCACTTTCGGCACCCACGATTGCCACCAAGCTCTATCATGAGGAGATTGAGATCAACGAACCATACAGGTGGCTACACAAAATGACTCCACGTGTGAAGTATCCCCTTTTACCTAAGTGCTAGTGCACACAATTCAGCATCTTCACATAATCCAAAGTCTCCACAAGCCTTGAATTTACATCCTCATCAACTCCACAATTTTCAACTAAACCCCCGATTAAAACCAAAGCTTGAAATCAATCACTAAACGCCAAAAACTCATGTCGTTGAACCCAACTTTCCCATTCCCCCAACGCAAACGGCAAAGATACACTAATTACGCATGCTGCCCCAACCAATACACGTTACATTACAACTTTTGATACCTATAAATATGGTTAAGGCTTTGTTTTTTTTCAACCCTTTCCATTTGTTTTCTCATTTGTTATATTATAACATAACATGGGTTCCTCCGGTGGATCAAAAAGCATAGCAGATTCAGCATCATGGTACTGTGCCATGGTGTTGTTGGGTATGATGCTGTTGGGGTCAACAAGGGAGAGCACTGTGGCTGAAGAAACAGAGGCTGTAAGAGGGAACAACCTCCGTGAGCGACCGTGTGATGAGATATATGTGGTGGGGGAAGGGGAAACCTTGCACACAATCAGTGACAAGTGCGGTGACCCGTATATCGTGGAGCGCAACCCGCATATCCATGACCCGGATGATGTTTTCCCTGGCCTTGTCATCAAAATCACCCCCACCAATACTAACAATTTGTTGAACAAGTAGAGCTTAAGCAATTACAATTAGTCTAGTGCTGTTACTTGTCTTCGTTATTGTATACAGATTTATCAGGAAAGAGTAAAAGGGAGGGAAAAATATATATTCTTAACTGTTGGTATCTTCTTAATTTTTGTTTTTTAGCTTTCCATTATTAATTGGTTTGTAAACCTTTGACGAAACTATGAAGATACACACTTTGGATTCGTTCTGCGATGAATTCGATGTTCTAACGTTGGAATTTGGAATAGGTTAACCTTTTTTGTTCTTAATTTTTATTCTGTGTGCGGAGATGGATATAGGTGCGGCTGCACTTACAGTTAACTGCTGTGTAGCCGTTTTTGTATTTTTATTTCTATCATTTCTTGTCGAGAGGAGAGAGGGGATTATAGTTCAAGAGATTATAATTAAGAGGGGATTCTTAAAGAAAGTGTACTGCATTTTTAGTAATAAACTTTTTTCGGTATACTTTAAAACTAAATTCTTGTATTTCTTTTTTATATAAAAACGTATGATTAAATTCATATTAGGTTAAATAATTTAAAGTAATTTTTTAAAATTAATTTTACTTAATTTTAAAAGAATTTAGCTTAAACCCGAAGTTGATCATACGAAATTAAGGGAGGAGGGGGGGGGGGGGGGGGGGAATAAGAATTTTGAGAAAGGGCGAAATAAGAAATTTGGTAACCAAAATATCTTCTAAAACATACCATATGCTATGGCCAAGACGATTTTTACATTATATTTTTGGGTATAGGGTTTACATCATCATTTTAATATCTTCGTTGTTGGTTAATTATTCTTCAGAAATTAATGTACTAGAGCAAATTATGCTTATTTTCGAAGATATGCGTTCTTCGCCTAAAATATTACTTCTTGACCCAATTGAATAACAATTTATAATATCTGTTTAATCCGTGAAAAGATGCGGTAAGGAAAAGAACTTGAGTCTGAATCAACCATAATAAATTCACAGACCTTTTCGTTGAAGCACAACAATACTTCTATAAACCTTCTTTTAAATTTGGGAATTTGTAAAACGAAGGAAGATACGAATTAAACCGTGGATAAAAAAAAATGCATGCGATGTTAACATTTTACAAAATGTCAAAAACACAAATTATATATATATATATATATATATATATATATATATTATGACAAAAAATTATTGAAACTTATAACGAAAAAATGTGGATCTAGTTAGTTGGATATTACGAGCAGTAGTTATGATCAATTTTATTTTTTTAAAAATATCATCGCGCAAACAGACTTGAAATGAACTCTTTATTGTAAAATAATGAACAACTCGTTTAAAAAAAAATAGCCACTTACTTAATCTTTATATAAAACTCACAAATTTAGAAATTGATTATCAATTGACATGTTTAGTAAAGAACGTGTATTATAAATTGTGAATTTTTTCTGTTGGTGTTGCCTTCAATAATTGGCAGTATTAACGACTTGCGTCGATTTCACGGCTGAATTTTGTTTTCTGGGGCATATATTGTATATTTAGCATATTTTATTGACAGAATAACATAAATTAATACCACTTCACTTTAAAACCGATAAGATTCAATGCAGTAATATCAAATGGAATCAATTCCTATTTTGTGTTTTGAATATCTAAGTTATCATTTTAACTTTTTTAAATGGTATTTAATTTTGTTGTCAAGTTCTGCTTATGGTAGAAAGTGTAAAATTATAATAAAATCAGAGTAATATGGTGAGAAAAAAAATGCAGAAAAATGAAGTATTATATTATAATAAAATGAAAAGATAAAGACACAAAATTTAACGTAATTCATTTGAAATAGACTTCGTCCATTTAGCAAATATATAATTTTCACTACAATATTAAGCAATAATGTATAAAATTGAATTTCACAAGAGTTCTCATTGAGAAAAACTCTCAATTCTGGTATAAAACCTCATTTAATATTTTTTTTTTCTCGTAAAAAGCCTAACTTGCAAATGAATAAATGTTTTCTCACACAATCTAATATGTTGGTCGTTATTTGTTGATGTAAGACGTAAATGACGAGGTTATACGAAAGTCTAAAAATTTACTTTGTTTAGGAATGGCACGGTCTAATGGTCAGTAGTTAGATAATTTTTACCGTGACTTATAAATTAAGAAGATATTTTATATTTTATATAAAATAAATTATTATTAATTTTAAATTAATAGATAACGAGATTAATATTTTATTTATAAAAAATACAAATATTTTTAAATTTTAAGATATTAAAAGAATTATCATTAATCATCTTAAAAAATATATAATATCTTATGACTTGTCTATTTCACTAAAGTACTCCTGTATCTAACAACTTCTTTAAATAAAAATAAAAAAAATAAAATATTAAGTTATAAAATAATATATTAGATATTCAAAAGACTAAATTAATGTATAATATAATTATTTGAAACATTAAAAAAGTCAAAGTAGTAAAATCTAAAAAAAAGTCATTTTATTAAATTAAAAAACAAAATAAAAAGGATGTTTACATATCCAAAAGCTGAATTTATGTATATTATAAACATTTGAAAGATTAAAATATATTAAAATATTGAAATGTAAGATATAAACTTATTTGTGTAAATCTTATTCTTATCATAATAATTATTATATATATTAATAAAATAAATAATTTTTTTACCTATTCTTATAAAAAAAAATTGATTTATAACATATATTGTAAAGTACTGATATTTAATTAAAAATTTATCAAATCTAGAAATTTTATTTTATAATTATAATCTCATGTAAAAAAAGCACTGTACTGTTTATGTCATTCTCTTCTGTTGGTAAATTTTTAAATGACGAGGGCAAACCAACGGAGCAACGTTTGGGTTTTAGTTTCGACGAAAGGCTTGGCCACGGTTGGGGCGAGGGAGCCCACGGGAGCTGAATCACCGCTCCAAAGGATTCCTTCTCCTCTCTCTTTCTTCTTCATCTTCTCAGGTCGCTCCTCTCTCACACTTCCTTTTTTTTTTTTTTTTTTGTTTCAGATTATAATTATTTCTCTTTTTAATTTCAAGTTTTTTCCTTTTTAACAACTGGTAAGATTTGACCACTGCTCTTGCTCTTGGATCTGGGGTTGTTTATTTTACGCTGATTTTCATGGGTTTGTGCTGTTTTCACTTGTTTCCTTTGGTTCATGGCTTTTGGGTGATCGTGTTTTTTATTTTTTGTTTTGTCGTTTTGAGTTTGTTGAGAATTGTTTATGTCTTTATCGATAATTGTGGTTGGAATTTGTTGTTAGGTGTCTAATCCATCCAAAAGAGTTGTTTTTAATCTTGTGGGGTTGTGCTAGAATCTATTTTCACTTTTCAGTCTTTTGTGAAATTTAAAGCTGGGGAAGCTCGAAACTTTAATGATTGTAATTTTTGAGTCGTCATAGAATTCATTACTTGCGGTTTTTGTTTGTTGTTTGCGTTTTTCTTAACCTGAATTGGCTATTCTGCAATGAATGATTGGAGTCTTATTGTCATTGTTTTGCAGATCAACTGATTTGGAAGGAGAAGTGTTCCTGGCTGAGGAGTCCAACTTTCAATTTTTTCTGTCCTTCTCTGTCTTATACTCTCTTACTTGTCAGATTCATGGAATTCTGTGCCTTACAGTTGCAGTGAATGTCTTTGTCAATCATCAACCATTTTCAGTTTCTTTAAGGATCTACCTGAAGTGGGGTTTGGGAGGATGGCAGTGTAAAGAAGAAGATCAAGTTTGGGATTTGTGTTTAGTAATCTTATTTTGTCAAAGTGATTATACTATCTCCTGAACCAGATCTTTCAGAAAGAGAATTTTTAAGGTAAGTTGCTTGTTACTGATATATCCGGGTTTGCTGAGGAATTAGAAAATTGTTATGGCTGTTGCCAAGTGCAACAGCAGCAGTGAACATCCAACTTCTTACAATTGTTACAAAGTAACAAGCTTGTCTGAAACCATATTAGACACAAACGAAATCTCTAATCTGAAAGATCGATACATTCTTGGAGAGCAGTTGGGTTGGGGACAGTTTGGTGTCATAAGAGCGTGCTCTGACAAGCTGACTGGAGAGGTTTTGGCCTGCAAATCAATTTCTAAAGATAGGTTGGTTACTTCAGATGATCTGCAGAGTGTTAAACTTGAGATTGAGATAATGGCTAGGTTATCTGGGCACCCAAATGTTGTAGATCTCAAGGCAGTTTATGAAGAGGAAAATTTTGTTCATTTGGTGATGGAGCTTTGTGCTGGAGGGGAGCTTTTTCATTTGTTAGAGAAGCATGGGAGGTTTTCTGAATCTGAAGCTAGGGTTCTCTTTAGGCATCTCATGCAGATGGTTTTGTATTGTCATGAAAATGGGGTTGTTCATAGAGATTTGAAGCCTGAGAACATTCTCTTAGCTACTAGATCCTCCTCATCTCCAATTAAATTGGCAGACTTTGGGCTTGCAACCTATATCAAGCCTGGTACTTGCTTCCTTTGCTTCCTTTGCAAATATCAATCTTCTTTGCAATTTCCATTGCTCCACTGAAAATGCCTGGTTTTCATCTTCAAAAATTGGGGTTTGTTTAAGCAGGAGAGAGTTTGCATGGGTTAGTTGGGAGTCCATTCTATATTGCTCCAGAGGTACTGGCAGGTGCATATAACCAGGCTGCTGATGTCTGGAGTGCAGGGGTTATTCTTTACATTCTACTGAGTGGGATGCCTCCATTTTGGGGAAAGACAAAGTCACAGATATTTGAAGCGGTTAAGGCTGCTGATTTGAGGTTCCCATCTGATCCTTGGGATCTCATTTCTGAATCAGCTCAAAATTTGATCAGGGGAATGCTCTGCACAGAATCTTCTAAAAGACTCACCGCACAGGGGGTTTTGGGTAAGTTTTTCTTTTGCTGTCAATGTCTATCTACACTTATAACGCAATAATGACAGTAATTGAGATATAGATTATAATTCATGAATATGCAATAACTTAATTTAACCAACAAGTATATTTTTATTTTGCTTAGGTCACTATGGCCTGACAATTCTGTTGGTTTTTGTAATGGAGAATGGTTTACCAATGAATTTATGCTAAACACTTTACATTGTTTAGACTAAAAGGGCACCTCATATGGTATTAAGTTCACACTATTCATCCGTTTATGATATGGACGTTCAAAACATATGGTGGATCCAAAAAAATTTCAAAGGGATGGGCTGACAGCATAAAAACTTTGACCTAGGAATTAATACAACACAGAATATGGATATGATACGACATGGATGTAGACACAGACATGGAATTATGACAAATTATAAAATTACAGGGAAAGTTTAAAAAATGCAGTTAGAAAAATGTTGAAATTGTCAACATTAATACATGTCTAATTGTCTATGATAGATACAACATGATACAACTACTATTTAGAAGTATCCTTACTTTCTTGAACCTTACATATATAATTATGCTAATAAATACAAGATAATGGTTGTTTTGGGAAATATATTATAATATTTGTATCTATGTAAGTATGTAACCGATCTCATCTAGTGAGATAAAGCTTAGTTGTTCTTGTTGTTGTTGTATCTATTTATCTGTACCATTTTATCCTAATATTAGTGATATAAATGTCACTAGTGTGTACAGCCCTTTTATACTCTTTTACCTAATGTTTGAGTGATATAAAAAATAATATCACCTGTTGAAATAATGAAATTGTTTTTACCCAGCATATTACTCAGGCATATGCCCTGATTTCTCTTTTGCCTTGTTTTGTTATTTTACTGCCCTGAAGACAACCAGTTTTATTTCTCAACTTGTCAACCTATGGCTTGGAGAGTTGTTTCTTTTGGTGGGACTTGGAGGCTGTTTCCTTTTGGTTGTGTGATTGTTCTAAATGATCTTCAATACTATTATTTAAGTGGGTTTTAATTATTGCCTTGGTGCAAATGCATAAATTTGTCAAATGGACAGTGGTTCTAGTTTAAAATAGAGTTGCCCTTCCCTGTCCTCCACCAAGCATAATAAAGCATCATATGAAAAAGAAGAAAAAGAAGAAATGAGAACCCAAAATCTGTTTCCTAACCTTCATCTGAACTTTTCTTTTGTAGATCATTGCTGGATGGAAAGCAATCAAACAAATACTGAACAACTAAGTGAACATAAAATCAGAAGTTGTGGAGATTTGGATGTTGGTAGCAACTCATTTTCTGGCTCGTTTATGTCCAGGAATCAGGACATCAGCTTTGGTGCTGGATCTCCCACATGTGGTTCTCAATCACCTACATTCACATGCAGATCCTCATTTTCTTCCTTTTTTGAGGAACCAGCAACACCTTGTTCTGTTTCTGGTGGGTTTTCATTTCAGAGCTCAGGTGGTTCCACTGATTTAGAATTTTGTTCTACTGTTCCCACAATGCATAGCTTTGCATTTCTCTGCCCCGTTTCTGTTGTTGAGCAAAGGGGCTGTAAATCAGAGCTCTCAACTAACATGTCAGATGTGAATGCAATTGCTGGAGGTATGTATAGAGTTTTTCATTTAAACTATCTTCATTCTTTTTAGCCCTTTAATCTGATACTTGTCATCATTGCTTCTACTTCCAGATTCTCCCCTTTGCTTTGGACATGATGTTAAAGAAATGGATTGCAAGCCTGTAGAGGCTAAAAGGGCAGGTGGAGCAAATGGCCATAGGGCATTGGGACTCCACAGCAAAAGAAATCGGACAATCGGACTTGGTGAGCGGGAGCAACTTGATCTTGTGGTGACTGAATCAGTGATTCGTTGGTCATCATGCACACAACTTCCTACATCACCAAGATCATCTCTTGTCTGTTGAAAGGATGAATTTCTGGACAGATTGATTGAATAACTTGATGTGTTGACTAAATTTGGCATACTAGTGCAAATTCATCTAGCACGTTGTATATGTTTCCTGAATTTGCATTGTTGTTGCTGTCTTCTGGTTGGGGTTAGTTTTGGTTCAGATTTTTGTGGTAGGTTAATCGTGTGGTGGCTTCTAATTGCTCACTATTATCTTTTTCCTTTCATCCTCATTTACCTTCTCATGTGAATTACAACGAGTGTGCGTAATAAGAATTGTGTCTGGTTTGTAAAGGAAGTTGTGTCTTTATGTATCCAAATGTTTGAAAATGAATTGTAAATTGATGTGTTAAATTATTATATTTTTTATTTTTATTTTTTGTTTTTGGTCAATTATACTTTTGATTCAATTGTGAGGAGGTGAAGGATGTCAGTAGTTTTGGATCATCATCATTCAATCAGTAAAATACAGTGTAACTTGAGATGTCTACTGCACAATCTATTGAAGCACAGTAAGTATTTTTGGTGAATGTAGAAGAAGTGAAGTGCTAAAATTAAGTCGTAAGTGCATATCCTCTGGCATGTTCGGTCATTCTTAAATAATAATTGCTATATTGAAAAAGAAGCATGGATATATATTCACATTTAAACGAATTGTAGCATTAATTTCTTTTTGTGGCCAATAAGAAGAAAAAGAAAGTACTAGTGAGAATCATGCTAAGCAAATGTGAACGCAACAATAAAACTAATAATCAAAGGCACCACACTCTCCTCACTCCAGTTATAAGTTGAACTGTGAATGTAAATGAGTACGAATACATACCAAATTTTTAATTGTAATTAATGTAAGAAATTAAAATTAATTGTAGTAAGAATGGTCACTCTTTAACTATAATTTTTGGAATAAGTTGTTCCTTTATCACATTTCACAACAAAACTATGGCATATATTTTAGCGAGGAATGCCATCAACTTTCTTTTATAATTTATCGAGTGAAATTTTGTGAGTATTATTAAACAATGAGTGTGTTTGGCGTATCATTTTAACTAGTTTATATTTTATTTTATTAGCTTGTTTAACCTGAAGAGAGGTGTTTGGTAAATGAGTTTCTCTTGCTAGTTTATAACATTTTTTGTCAGAGAGTATTTAAAATAGCGTTTGAACTTCTAATTTATATCATTATTATTTTTATTTCCACCGTCAATTGCTTATTTCTTAAAACTATGTTTCGATTTGAAAAATATAAAAATATGTCTTTTTATATCATTTTACCTTTAATAGTTAATTCAATAATTAATTTTATTAAATATATAATTTTAAATTAACTTGACAACTTTTTGTGAGAAAATATTTTTTCAGCTTTGAACTAATTTTTAATTGTTTTTATCAAACATAACCAATGTGGCTTGTTTATTTTCTTTTTTAAAAAAACCATAATTTATTTTTTATTAGAGGATTTACATGAAATTTCATTTAACATTCAAATAAAAACGTAAAAAGTACATCCTAGTGGAAGGAACGCAAGTTTCTTAAACATCAGATCTTAAAATCAATCTTGAGATTCATGTGCATGGACAGAAATTCTCAAGAAGGGTTCTAATGTTAGTACTTCACCTTAACTATAAAAAATTTCGATTGTACTAATCGAGTGGGAGGTTATTTTCAAAAACAGAAAAAAAAAAATCTTTCTTTATTTTCTTTTAAAGAATATCTGTCATTTAAAAGACCTTTAACCATTTTAATTACAATGATAATAGTTATACACCTTTCCATACTTTTATCTTTCACCTCAAATTTCTGTCTCTTTTTCTTTTTATACCATACCATTATTATACCTTTCACTTCCTCACATTCTTTTCGTTTTTCTTCTTATCTTGATTTTATTTTCATTTTTTACACTAAAAATAAAATAAAATAAAATGTATGATTAACATTATTGTTTTAGTTATTAATTTATATTAAATAAATAAATGGAAGAAGTATGCAGAGAGAAATGTGATGAAGATACCCGGCCCGTTTTTTGAGGGTTTGACACAGGTAAGGAGGTAAGGTAACTCTCCACTGCCGCATGTTGCAATCCTACGTAAACAAGAAACAAAATACAAGTAAAAATTAACCTCAATTACTGTTCCAATTCCACAACTAGGTTTGTTTTGTGGGTTCTAACTTTGCTTATTCTCTACTCTGCAACAGCCGTTATTGGTTTTACCTACGCAGACTTCATTCGCAGAAGAATCTTCACTGTTATTCCATGGAGTCCTCTGACAACAACAAAGAACAAGTGCCCCCTACACCCGAAGACCCCGAGAAGAAAAAGAAAAAGGAAGAAAAGGTCCTTTCCATCTTCTTCTTGTTCTTCTTGTCCTGATTGTTTTGCTAATCGGGATTTGCACTAATGGGGTTTAAGAAAATTTTATATTTTTAAATACCCTTTTCATGGTTTCATTTCTCATTGGTAATGGAAGGATTTTTTTTAGTCGTATGGAATGGCTGATGCCAAGGTTTTAATTTTTTTTCATTTGAAACCATTTTGAGTGATATAAGATAATACAATGCAATGTTTGGTAATTTTTATTTTCTCGTGTGGGAATTTTATGGATTTGTCTCAGGCAAGAGAGAAGCAATTGAAGAAAGAGAAGTTTCTTTTGAAGCAAGCTGAGCGTCAGGTGACTAGAGTTCTTGATTTCCCTTCTTTGCAATTGCAACATTTGATTTTGATATGTTTTTAGTTTTCTTGTGTGTTGTTTGTAAGTTTGATCTCGTAAATGATGTTCAGAATCTCCACTTTTTGTTTTCTTTATTTTGGTGCTAACAGCAACAAGCACAACAATCATCCAATGCTTCTATAAAGAGTGAAAAGAAAGTTGTGAAGCGTGGTGCAGAGGATGAGAATCCTGAAGATTATACTGATCCTGAGACCCCATTGGGTGAAAAGAAGCGAATGTCTCGTCAAATGGCGAAACAGTATAGTCCATCTGCGGTGGAGAAATCGTGGGTGTTAATTCCGTCCTTATGCTCAGTACACTTCAATTATATGAAATGCTTATCTTTTGTGTTTGCAATAATTTAGGTGGTATCAGTGGTGGGAGAAATCAAGATATTTTGTGGCAGATGCTAAAAGCTCCAAACCTCCTTTTGTTATTGTGAGTATCTTGTTAATCTTATGCTGGTTTCTGATGCCATGTGAAGATGTTTTGCTTCAGTTTCTACCTGAGAATTAAACAATTTTGTATATTCATTATATACTATTTTGTAGAAGTGATCCTTCTCAATTTCTGATATCCTTCTAACGATAAATGAGAATCTATCGGTCTTAGAAGGTTCTCAAAATTCAATATTATTTACTTTGGCTGTTTGATTGTATTAGATGAAGTTCCAGAAATAGATTCAATTTTGTGTTGTTAATCAATGTTTGTCCTTTTTGGATCTGAAATGAAATATAGTGTCTTCATCTTGCTTTAATCTTGAAAATATTTAAGATACTCACACACTGGTTATACTGCTTGATGTGCGTGTAAAGTGGCTGCACAAACCACAAATTCAAATGATAGTAAAGTTGCTTTTTTTTTTGCTTCCTTTTTACATCTATCAATAATCTTATCATGCTGTATTTTAGGTTTTGCCTCCTCCAAATGTGACTGGTGCACTCCACATAGGTCATGCTCTAACAGCTGCAATAGAGGTATCTTAGATAGCTCATTTTCACTATTCAGTTTAGCTGTTCAGAATGGCTAACCTCTATGTGATCAATTGCTTGCAGGATACAATGATCCGTTGGCGAAGAATGTCTGGATACAATACTTTGTGGGTGCCTGGAATGGATCATGCTGGGATCGCCACACAGGTTATATCCCTAAATTTAAGGAAATTTCATGTAGTTTTTAGCTATCTTATAATACATCATTGTTGTAGATGTGGTTGGGTGGTCGAGGAAAGGCTACATATTTGGCTGAGGCTTAAATATGAGCTCATTTAGATAAACTTATGGTGCAAGAATTTTTTAAGAAAATTGTTTTTTTTTTTCATTTAGATTTAATGTTTAAGAAATAAAAGTATTTATACTAGAACCATTTATTCAGTTGCCTATGTACATTTGATTCCGTTCTGTAATTTAAGTATTTTTACTCACTGTGTGGTGAGATTTCTTGTAAAACTCTGGCTTCTGACTCACAAATGACATTTTTAAACTTTCCACTTTGCAATAAATCTTTCTTTCCCAAATTTGTGGCTAGAAACAAACTGGATAGTTATATCTTAATTTATCATGTACTATTTGTTACTTTAATGATATGTATCTGAATTTTCCATTTTCAGCATATCTTTCACGTGAGCTGATAATTTGTTAATTATGATTATTAATGCCACAGGTAGTTGTGGAGAAAAAGATAATGCGTGAAAGACAACTTACCAGGCATGATTTGGGCCGTGAGAAATTTATTTCTGAGGTATGTCTGTAGAACAATCTTTGAAGTCTCCAGGTTCTTGATAACTTGATATTTTGACTCTGGTGACCTACTTTGGTGGATGTTGGCAAAATAGGTTTGGGAATGGAAAAACAAGTATGGGGGCACAATATTACACCAATTACGCCGATTAGGAGCCTCTTTGGATTGGTCTCATGAGGTAAATACTTAACTTGTTTATCTTTAGTCCATTGTTTGGTAAAAGTGAGTTCAGAAGAACCAATGTCTCAAGCAAAACCTAGGAACACCCTTATCAAAACCATTGGCAGAATCCCACAACAAAGTCTGTCCAAGTCAGATAGATATTTTTCATGCCAATTCCTATCATGGCCTTCATATTTATGTCACTTTCTGTTTCCAGTGCTTCACAATGGATGACAGAAGATCTATGGCTGTGACTGAAGCTTTTGTGAGGCTTTACAAGCAAGGCCTTATCTACAGGTGGGTTGGACATTAGCTATATGTTTTGTCTTTATGTAATGCTTTTATTCATAACTACTTAAAGGTAGGTTTTTCATTGATGCAGAGTTCAATTTGTAAATTTGTTCTCAAATATGAATTGATAGAGATCCTTGATTATATCAGGATAAGCTTAATGTGTTATTAGAGTTGGAAATGATATAGTATGCCTGATAAGTATTAACTGTAGGCAATAATATCTACACATGGAAATTTTAGTTCTTAGACTTGTCTTAGATCTAGTTACTTTGAAGTTCCACAATCACACACAAACTGGGATTTTATTTACTTTTCACTGTTGCAGGGACCTTCGTTTAGTGAATTGGGATTGCGTGTTACGAACTGCTATATCTGATATTGAGGTATGCAATGCTTGTTCTTGGCTGTTGCATCTGATGTAGTGCATGTATGAAATTGCTTGCTGCATGCAGGTAGA